AACGCTGAATCAATTTAACGAGACTAGCGCGAAACTTTATTACAGTTATATGGACCTCTGCTCTCGTGTGTGCAAAATCTCTAAAATCACTCGAGATATTTAATATGGTTTCAAATTACCATACAAATTTTAATTCGGAAAAAATTTGTTTAGGATAAAAATGTAAAAATCTTGAATGAAAAATTAATTCAGTTCGATTCAATTAATAGGATATTATCAAACAAATCCCGAGTCGAAATTTTTCCCTCTTTTCACCTTCGATTTTCTCAGCCTCTTTTCAGCCTGAAATCATATGCGCTTATTTCCAAATCTGCATGTTTAGAGGTTGAAAAGAGGTTTTGGAATTTTTTCTTAATTTTAATTTTGACTCGGGATATTTACCGAATTTTTGAAAACCAAATAGTAATTGGTATATTTGAAACAATAATTTCGAAATAAATAGCTAATGGAGCAAAGAAGAAAAAACCCATTTGAATATTTGAGACAAATATTTATTTGATAAATAGTAGTGATGATTTGAATCATAAATTTTTTTCCAGTGCGTGAATAAAGAAATTAACCGAAACAAGTGTTGTCATTTGAAATAAATTTCTGCATAGTCATGTGTCAAAACGTGAATGACATACAGTCAATGAGAGAATTTGTAGGTACTAAAGGGATTATTCTCCTGAGTATTTAAGTATTTATTTGAATGGTGATCTCATTCAGTTGCGAAAATATCTCTTGAGACCGATTAATCTTTACAAGAGTCGCTCATTCACAGTTATACTTCCTGTCTATGAATGAAATTTTCCCAAGAAAAAGTCGAAATAAAATTAACCAAATCAAAAAATTAAATTTGTTAATACACAACTGACATTCTCTTAAAACGAACAGAAAAATCAATTTGGAGAATTTGTGATTATTGTGGGAATGAAGAGAAAAGAAGAGGGAGTAGTCAATGTGGTTAATGTTAAAAAAGTTAAGATCGCTTGAAGGAATCCAATGTGAGCTGGGGGCCAAATGAACACTCGATGGGGCGTCCTGTTCGCTCAGCGGGATATCCGCGAGCCCCTCCCAAAAACTTTACATGTATTTACAAACATTTTGGCAGAGAGTCGCGTTCGCGTGAGAAAGGGGAAGGAGCAAAACGAAGAAGCACATACTAAAAAAAGAAAAAAAAAAAAACAGAAAAAGAAAGAAGGAGAAAAAAAAGAAAGAGGCGGTCAAGCAAAGGCCAAGAATCTCCGTCGGCCCTTATGAAAATCCATTTCGAGTGAAAAATGGCCAAGCTTGTAATCCATTAGGGAAAAAAAGGTACATATATCCTCGATGGTGGCCTACTACCGTGCGCGAGAACATCCCTTTTCTCTTTCACTAAAAAGATATACCCCAGGAAGCAGGAATCACCGACTTTTTGACTTGAAACGAAAAATGCCGCTCTATTTATTACTAAACGATCCTCTCATTTCGGTCATCTCATAACCTTTGACTCTAATTTTAAATCCGAAAACTTCGTTATAATTTTATACTTTCCTAGATATTTCGTTCTCAAATTTATTAATTTGTATTTTTTGAAGCAAAATTCACGCCCCAAAGTTATAATCCGGTTTGTACAAATTCGGTCAAAGGATCACTCTCGAGGGAATATAGGGTTAACATTGAAAATCGAACCGGTATAGAGTGTCGCGCTGAATGTACGTGTCACTGTAAAGCTAATTGTTACCTGTCGAGTGTAACCCATTCACAAGGAAATCCTTGCCCTTGGGACGTTATGTACCGCGCGATTCACATATTCGCGTATAAGAAATTCTCGAATTATTTTTTTTTTACATATGTGTGGCGCGTATAACTTGAACGAGCAGACGGCTATCCGTTTCCCTTAGGAGGTTATTCGAGTCTGGATAAAAGGAAAGACCGGTCGAATGCTTGTCCTGGCAGTCAATAGGACCTAATTGCTTTTACACAAACCATCCTTTTGGACGTGAGGAACAAATCGCCGCCGCGCGGCCGCTTTTACACCGTTGCGCGTCCATCTCTTTTCTCCCATTCAAAATTTCAAAGAACCAAAAAGAAAAGAAAAAATATATTTATACAAAACAACTTCCCATGTCAGAGAAAGCCAATTCACTTTTTAAGTATATTTACAAACAGCTGTTAACTATGTTTTCAGACAATTCAAATCGTTATAAAAAAATTTTCTTTCTATTCTCATCACACGCGTGAGAATAACGAATCTGATTAGCGCAAAATTTTAAATATTTGTATATTTTTTTTGTGTTTTACGTTTTAAAAAATTTGTTTATAAAAAAGTTTTTTCAATGCTCGAAGAATCATATATTGATTCTATGAAACGAGGGTTTATAATATGAATATAATAGAATTTTCGGTTAAGCTTTGCGATTCGTGAAATTCATACAGGCATAAAAAAATTGCCTTTTTTCGCATCCACGAGCAATCAATTTTTTTTTAAAAAAAAAGTTACAAAACATTTGTCTGCGTATTCATAAGGGTAAAAAAGCATTTTGAAACACGATTATCCTTTAGAGAGTTAGAAAATGAAACTCAAGTCTAGCAATAACTTTTGTGAATGAAAGCCACAATATATACATAATATGCTACGCTGCACTAGAGAGGAAGCAGAAGAAACTCAAGGGGTTTCACTCTCGTGCCCTCGATACATTGCATCGCATTCCAGATTAGACAAGGTTTCATATGCAAGTTTTGTTCAATGGTGTAGGAATGCAGGGAAATTTAAATTATAAAAAATATTTTCAATTTAATAAGTATTTGTAGAAACAAATTAATTCATAAAAGATTTTTAATTAAAATAAATAATTAACATTTTTTGTGTTTTCTTTATAAAAAAGTTTATAGTTTTTAGGACAGATTTTTTTTTTATTTAGAATAATAATAGTGCATTGAACTTTGGTGCGCCAGGTTAAGGTGTTCGATCCCCGACAGAGTTAGAAATTTTGAACGATAATTTTAACTTTGGTACACAGTAAAAAAAAAATCTTGTTTCAAGTGTCTGAAACTAAACTCAGCTTCAATTTAAAAAAAAATTAAATTCCTGATGAACATTCGTTCGTTTTAAAATTGCAACTGAACTCTCTAAATCTGAATTAGTAAAAATGTTTACTACTTCGAATTAGTGACTCACTTTTTGCTTCTGAATTAGTAAAATTTTACTAACAATAGTAAAATTTAACTAAGTCAGAAGCAAAAAGTGAGTCACTAATTCAAATTAGTAAACATTTTCACTAATTCAGAATTAGAGAGAAAATAAGACACTTTTCTTTCTTTAATATAATAATTAAAAAAATTTAATATGTAATTTATATAAGGGACAAGATATGGAAAAATTGGACTCCTACGCCTATGATTTTTGTGAGCTCTAAAGCTCTTTTTTTCGAGTCAAAAAGCCTATGAAAATGTGTATTGCTAGCTTGACTATACATCTCTTTAATTCGGTCATCATTCTCGCATATGTTCAATATGGAGACTATTCTAATACAATCTCACACTATACAGGTAGCAACGAAAGAAGGAAAAATATTAGTCGATCGCCGTGACCGGATCCTCGACGCTTGTATATTTATACTCTTGTTTGCCCCTTGATTCGCCACGGACTCACCTTTAAAAGTCTGTCGGTTCGCCTGTCACACCGGTCAAAACACGCATTTACTTTCCACCGGCTGTCTTTTACCTGTTGGACCACCCTCTGGTTTCGCTTTCCTCCCTTGGATTTCAATATACATATATATATATTCTTTTCTACTATATATATATATACATATATTTGAGGTCAAATTATGTAACTGTGTTCAACTTCTCAAGCGAAACCATTATTTTTCTTTAAGTAGACGTACCAAATTAAGGTTTAAAAACCTTCAAAAAAAAAATTATTTTTATTATTATTATTAATGACGTTTGAATGATTATTATAATTTTTTTTTTTTACTTTGTAAATCAACCGAAAAATACTATTTTCAAAAACGCAGAAAATGCTTTTGTGAAAAAAAAATTAAGATTTTTGAAAATATTTTATTTTATGTTCAATTGAAGAAAAAAAAATTTTAAACAAGGGCCAAATATTTCTTTTTTTGTAAACCGCGCGCTTGTGAAAAATTTCCCTGGAATTGACAAATGAAAACTCTGAAAATTTCTTTTGGAATATAATTTTTTAAGAAAATTTTATTATATGGAAAAAAAATTTATTTGCTGCAAGTATATAATCATCAGTTACTTGACTGCTATTATCAAATAAATATTTTCTTGAACCAAATAAAAATTATTTGATACAAATACTATTTTGAACAAAATTTTTAGGTTATGTCATACCTATGTGAATTAAACAATAAAAGTTTTATTCTCGGTAACTTTTTCACGTGAGACCTATTAAAATAAATATACCTAAACCTGAATAGTTTTCTACTAATGAAAGAATGCGTATATTTGTTTACCAATTGAGTAACAGTTTTGACTAATTTTTAGTATAAAAAACAGCTACTAATTGCTACACTGAAAAAAGGGTTTGGTATTGACAACCAAACGTTTGGTTGGTATTTAAGCAACCAAATTTTTTTGTTGAATCAACCAAAATTTTGGTTGTCCCAATCTTTAGTTCAACAAAAATCCTTTTTTTCTAATTTTGCTTGTGTCAAACAAATTTTGATCGAGACAATTAAAATTTTGTTGATTCAACAAAAAATTTTTGGTATAAATACCAACCAAACGTTTGGTTGTCAATACCAAACCCTTTTTTCAGTGTAGTAGAAAACTATACTAATTCATGGAGTAAGTCGTATATTTTACTATTTCAAATTAGTAAGCCGATTTACTCCCATGAATTAGTAGTTTTCTACCTAGCAATTTTTTTTACTAAAAATTAGTCAATTAGTAAACAAATACGCACTCTTTTATTAGTAGAAAATAACTAATTCAGATTTAGAGAGTAAAAACAAAATAAAAAAAGGAAAATAAATGTTAATGGAGAATTTTTGTAATTTTTTTTCCAGAGGTGCAAAGAGAAGCTGAACACATTAGCAATATCAGTGATGAACCAGTGGCCGGGAGTAAAATTGCGTGTAACAGAGGGTTGGGACGAAGAGGACAAACATGCAACGGACTCTCTTCATTACGAAGGACGAGCAGTCGACGTTACCACCAGTGATCGTGATCGTTCCAAATACGGAATGTTGGCAAGGCTGGCTGTGGAAGCTGGATTCGATTGGGTATACTATGAATCCAGATCACACATCCACTGTTCTGTTAAATCTGGTAAGTTATCTTTGATATTTTATATACAATTTCGAAAATATTTTTTAAAAAAACCCGCAATTATTTTTCTAATTTCATATATTGTATAAAAAATCGAAAAAAAATTACCATGTAAATAATTTTAACGCGCCTATAACAATATTATATAATTGACCTATTGGAACGCAAAAAAAAAAAAGATAAGCGCACACCTCAAGGATAAAATTGTAAAATTTATATATGAATAATCGTGTTGCTATACTTGTTTTCGTGAAAATTCCAGTTCGTAAAAAATAATCGTAAACTCTTAACGAGCGAAATCACGGCGAAATGGCAAAGAATCTTGCGGGTAAAGATCCCTCTGCCGTGAGAAACTTAAAGGTGTGTGCTTTTATATTATACGATTCTGTATGCTGAAAATAGAAAGGAGGGTTCATATGTATATAAGAATGCGATAAAAGACCCTCCCCGCGCTTGCTTTTGGAAAGAGAATGGCCTTTTTGAGTTAAGAAGTTGTTTGATTTAAGTGAAAAAAACGGAGGAAGCCATGATCGAAATTGGTTACATTATGAAAGCGGAGACTCAAGAACATTTTTTATTCTTAAATTTTTTTCATCACAAAATAAATCTCATTTATATAAAAGAAGCTAATAACATCGAAATGAATATTGGAATAGTTTTAAAAACAAAAAATTTACTTTTCAAAATTTTGTTATAAAAAAAAAAAATGATTGTAAAAGTTCGTCAGTAAGAATAATAAAATAAATGATCAATAAAAATTTAATTGCAGATGTTTCTTTATGAATAATTATATATAATTTCTTTAAGCGTTTTAAAACTTGTTAGAAAATTAAATTGACGATATACTTTACCGAATAATTATCACTTATGTAAAATTAAATTGGTCATACTTTTCTATATATCACTTATGTAAAATTAAATTATCCTCATATCTTTTATGATTATCACATTAAAATTTTTCTTAAAAAATGAATCAATCGTTATATATAAAAAAAAAAAAAATTGTAAACAATTCAAAATTTATCAGAAAATCGATAATCTTAATTACTCATTAAAAATGAAGGTTAATAGAAAATATTTATGACGTCAAATCTTCAAATATCATTTCCAAATAATCTTTTATCGTTTTCAATAAATCAATATGGAAATAAAATCCATTGATAAATATTATTTAATCACAAAATCGTGAGCACTTGAATATAATCGTATAAAATGTACAACAAATTGTTGTAAAATGATTTAATTATTTTATTTGATAAAAATTTATTGGTATAATTTTTGATTTGTTATTTTTAAATTCTTATATTAAAAGTAGATTTAAAAATGATTACGATTTCATCGGTATAAAAAAAAAAAATTTTGTCTTTATATACTTAAGAAATGAGTAAATAATTGATAAAATGCACGATTAATTGATTAGATTTCAAGTACCTAACAAGAAAAATTATTGCAAAATTATCTTCAAATCCATAACTAGTAATCACATAATCTTTAAATAAAACAATTTCCCCTTAAAAATGTTTTGTGTTTTCAAATCAGTAAAAATTTTAAATTTCATTTCAAATTGAATTGGGATTTAAAATTATATACTTTTTCTCTGGTTTCGCAATTGTTCAATGTGTAGCGCTACTTTCTAGAACATAATTATAAAATAAAAGCTCCCTTTTTTACCGACATTGAAGTACATATATCATACTTTGATACTATAGATTTTGCTAAACAATTGATTTCTTTCTAACTTTTAGAAACGAGTTTTATTTTTTAAAGATCATTTATTTCATTAGATGTCTCTGTCTGTGCAAAAATTCTTTTTTAATTATATGACACTGGAGTTACCAACGTTGATTCGACGAAAATAATTTTTTTTTTTTTTCCCTAAGATTAAATATTTCCTCGCTTTGGTTAAGGATTTTAACTGTTTGAGAATGTATGTGAGACAAAAATAAAGAAGTTTCAATAAAAAAAAATAAAAAAATTGCTTCTTCACGGTGCACCAGAAGGTGATTTAAATAAAAATGAATTGGCACTGAAAAATTCTTTTTGACTATGTTTCTTAGATGAATAAAAAACATTTCTTAATAGTTTTTAAAATCAGTTTACGTGCCCGATTTAAAAAAAATTTAGTTTTTATATAAAAAACAGTAATTTTATGGGGAAACAGAATTTCCTAAATCCGAAAGATTATGCGAATCCATATACAAAAACACGAATGGAAAACGAAAAGTAATATAATGACAGGTTCATTACCTCCTGCCGCCGTCAGATGGCAGCAGCATGCAGGGCGCACAAAGTCGCAACTGTTATTAAATTACTTTTCTACTTTTTGTTTTGCAACTTTTTTTTCTATGGATTCGTACCGTCTTTTGGATTTAGGAAATTTATCAGATGAGGATTTTGGCTGATTTTGTTAAAAGTGTTCGTGTTTCGAGAAAAAAGTATTTTAAAATAAATACTATTTTTTTATTTAAACCTCCTTCTGGCGCACCGTGTCTTGGCCTTTAAACTAATCTGAAAACGAAAAATTCGTTCATTGATTCGTCGAATCAACGTTGGTATAACTTATTTTTAATTTGCGCTTTGTTCTCTTTTCATTCATATTTTTTTTAGATCACGTCAATTTCTATGATTTTTGTTCTTGTATATGCGTGCACACAATCAACGCGGACCATGTTCATTTTGGACCCAGCGTCTCCGATTTCAAAATAAATGCCAATATAAATCGAGGCTTGGCCCTGTCGGCTCGAATTAAAATTGAGCGCCACATTAGCGCGAAATTGATACGATCCAATGGGCATCATTCACAAATGTGCTTGACGGGTGCGATACACGCGTCAATTTTAACACGTGTGTGACCAATTTTTATTCGCGCCGTATTTTGGATTTTTATTTTTTTCACGCTTCATAATTCAAAAAAAAAAAAAAAAAGTAGAATTTTGCAATTTAATTTTATTATTATTTTCTCGCGAGATAATTAATAATTCGAGTATCTTTGGTCGTAAGGATTAAAAAAAGAAGAAAAATTAAAATATAAAAATTTATCTGAATGAAATATAATTTCGATCAAGTTAGCTGCACTGAAAAAAAATTCTAGTTAGAATAACCAGAATTCTGGTTAGGGTATATTTAACATTTTGATTCTGGTTAGGTTAACCAGGTTTATTTTAACGAGAATTCTAGTTAATTCAGCTAGAATTCTGGTTAACATAACTAGAAAGTAATGTTAAATATAGCCTAACCAGAATTTTTTTTCAGTGTGACCTCTATAATAGGAATTTTGGAATGTTGGATCATAGCGCGATTAGAATTCATTTGTTCCAGCTATCGGTTTCCAAAGCATTTATATTATGATTTCCCACGGTAACCGGGCCTTATACTTGTCTTTTCGTGTTTGCGTCACACCTTACACGTGGTCAAAACGACAACTCCCGGATCCAATTACCTGATCGAGAAACCGATTGGCTTCAATTTCTCTCATATATATATATTCGCACTGCAAATATAAAATTCGAAAATGTTTTTTCTTTTTTCAGAATCATCGTCAGCGGGTAAATCGGGAGGTTGCTTCCCTGGCAAGAGTATAGTGAGAACGAAGGAGGGTACCAAAAAGAGACTAGACGAACTGATAATTGGAGATGAAATTGCGTCGCTTAATTCAAAGGGTGACATTGTCTTCAGTGAAGTAATAAGCTTCATGGATCGTCAACCATCTGAGAAGAGACAATTCATTCGACTGACAACAGCAACGGGTAAAGTTTTAACTTTAACACCATCACACCTTCTACCAGTTGAGGGAAAATCGATTATTTTTGCCGCGAAAGTTGAAATTGGTGATCGTATTTTGGTGAGGGATTCTGATTTAATCAATCATGATGGTCTTCGATACGATAGGATAATTGAGGCAAAACTTGTCCTTGAGGATGGTGTTTATGCCCCACTAACCAACGAGGGAACAGTTCTCATTGATGATGTTGTTGCTTCGTGTTATGCCATAATCGAAAGCCAAACTATAGCCCATTATTCATTTATACCTTATAGACTCTGGAGAAATTTAATATCCGGAGTCAGTAGGTTTTCCAAATTCATCACTGAATTTGTAACGGGAGAGTCCGAAATTACGGAACTTGATTCGAATAGGCAACTACAACAACAACCGGAAGGTGTTCTTTGGTACGCTTCTATGCTATATTCATTGTCCGCATATGTAGTTCCTTCAAATATGATGTACTGAAGAATATTATTGATTCCAACGTATGTAAATTTTAGAAACGTGAAAGACTGTTAGATATTTTATAGAAAAGAAAAAAAAAAAGAAAAAATGGTGAACACGACCTCTTCCTAAACAGAAATTTCTGTTTATTATTATTAATATTATTATTATTATTATATATATACATTATTTTATGTGATGTTATTTAAATTGGCCCTATATAATATACAAATCGCTCAATCTTTTTTCTTATATGGAAATATATACACAGTGAAAAGGGTGTCTTATTTTCAGTTGCAACAATTTTTTTATTTTTTAAAAAACCAGCAGCTCAATTCTATTTTTTTTTATTATTTTAAACCGAGATTATAATCTTAATTCAATATGCTAATTTAATTTCAAAAAAGTATCTTAAAATAAGATTCTGCTTTTAATGTGTGTATCAAAGTTAAATTTTACAAAACTTTTTTTCACTGAAAAAAAAATTCTGGTTTGGCTATATTTAACATTACTTTCTAGTTATGTTAACCAGAATTCTAGTTGAATTAACTAGAATTCTCGTTACAATAACCAGAATTCTGGTTAACCTAACCAGAATCAAAATGTTAAATATACCCTAACCATAATTCTGGATATTCTATAACTAGAATTCTGGTTATTCTAACTAGAATTCTGGTTATTCTAACTAGAATTCTGGTTATTCTAACTAGAATTCTGGTTATTCTAACTAGAATTCTGGTTATTCTAACTAGAATTCTGGTTATTCTAACTAGAATTCTGGTTATTCTAACCAGAATTCTGGTTATTCTAACTAGAATTCTGGTTATTCTAACCAGAATTCTGGTTATTCTAACTAGAATTCTGGTTATTCTAACTAGAATTCTGGTTATTCTAACTAGAATTCTGGTTATTCTAACTAGAATTCTGGTTATTCTAACTAGAATTCTGGTTATTCTAACCAGAATTCTGGTTATTCTAACTAGAATTCTGGTTATTCTAACTAGAATTCTGGTTATTCTAACTAGAATTTTTTTTCAGTGTTTCAATATATTCACATTTAGAAAATTCAATACCGTAAATAAATATTTAGAAAAAAAAATAACAATAAATAATTGACCCGATTTTTAAAGAGAATTTAAAAATTCTAATTAATTTTTTGTACGTTGGATGAAAATTATGCAATATTCTTTTCTAAATTTCTTGTCACGAATATGAATTTAGAAAGAAAGTCAAAGAAATTTATTTCGATTCTAAATTATTGAGCTAGTCGTCAAAAGTGTGTTGCACAGGTAGATTTATATATATTTTTTAAGATTTCTCTATATATATATATAATCGAAGATAATTTTGTAAATACATTTTTTTTTCTTTTTTTTTTTTTTTTTATTTAAATTAGTCAAGTTTTATATAATTTCCAAAATTCAGACGCAGGACGTATGTTTTTAAAAGATCACTTGTGATTTGACTGATGCGGATAAATAAAATAAAAAAAAAAAAAAATGATATATTATATTTATCTGCTTTCATTCGTCCATGTGAAAATTTTTCTTTTGGGAGTGGATCGCGTTCGCTTATGTCGGGCAATTAATAAATACATAAAAGTGCGCTGTAAAGTGCATTTTTAAAAATGCCTTTCACCCCATCTGTGGACAATTTTTTTTTTTTTTTTTTTTGCGTGTATTGCGAATGAGTGTATATGATATTTAAGTTGGCCAGTGCCCCCGTTCACCGAGTGACGTGCGTGATGCGTGTATAAATAATTTACTTATGGATGTACCGAATGCAAAAAAAAAAGAAAAAAAAAAAAAAAACCAAGAAGCTTTATCAAAGTTTGCCTGAGAATGAAATGTGTGATGTATGATAAGAGTGTAGGAATCAAATGCTTTGTTTAATCTGGTCGATCAAAGGAAACATTGTGGGTAGTAAAAAAAAAAAATTATTCAATATTTCAAAGGTTTTTTCGAACCTAAAAATTTTGTCTCTTTGAGGCAAATAAAATTTAATCGCAAGTATAGTAATTGTGTATAATTTTTTAAATATCCCACAAATGAACAAGAAACGTTCAAAACGTTCAAGGTTCACACACATATATATATACATATATATATATATATTTATATATATGTATATATACTCGTCTTGTGAAACGAAAAAAAACATACTTCATAAAAATAAAGCATTGATTTTTTTTCGATCTTCAAAAGTTCCGAGTACTGAGTCCTTAGGGTGTGTACGTTATTTATTATTATTATTATTATTATTATTATTATTTTTATTATATTATTAATTAATTAATTATAAATCGGATATGGCACAAAAAGAAAAGTGAATCTTCCTTTAGCAGAACAATAAGATAAAATTTTAAGACTTTCTTTTCTTTTTTGCAAACTTATATAATTTCTGACTTAATGAATCATTAATAAAATAAATTTTTTTTAATGTGTTCAATGACTATTGAAAACCGGTGCAACATTTTTTAAATCCCCTAATATTTGATTTATTTTAGAATGTATGACTTCATTGAAAATGAATGTACATTTTTTTTTTTTTTTTTATAAATTATAAATATTTGTGCATGACAGTGCTGAAAAATATATTTTTACATATAGTCGTCATTTATAGTTATATACACAACATGTAAATATATATATTCCTATAATATTTATTGTAATTCGCTTTGGGATATACATGAATCGAATTGGACTCAATTTTCAGTGAAGATATTCAATTAATTTTTTTCCATTTGTCATTTTAGGATTTTTTTTTTTTTTTTACTGATTTGCAAAAGAAAAAATATATTTATCAATGCTTCGACAATTGAGACGTATGGCTCAAATGAGCTTAAGAAAAGCATATATAGGCGAAAAAACAGTATTATTTTTTTTATCATTTAACAATTTCGCCTCGTCTCAAGTGTATGATTTCAAAAAAAAAAAAAAATATTTCATGTAAATTAAAGAAGAAAAATTAATAATTTTAGAAACTGCATATTATTCCCGTAATTTTGTAATAATAATTTTTTTCTAAATATTTGTAAATCACGATTTTTGTAAAATTAAAAAAAAATTAAAATTGTATTTCCGGATATAAAAATTTAATTTAAATATTAATTTTCTTCTTCTTTAATATCCTTAATATTATATTTTTATCGACATGATAGACTGCAAATGTGAATTCTTGTCGTTGTACAGTAATTATTAAGATATCGCGCATCATTTTTTTTTTTTTTTTTTTTTGTTTATTAATCGTTGAGAATCTACGCCTTCATTATTAATTCACGAATTAACTGTGCCCGATTATTGTATATCGATGCATTAGTTATCCCAAAATATTATCTATTATTATATATATTATATTATTGCCGTAATTATAATTATTATATTTGTACGTAGCTCAAACAAATTGAAATTTATGTATATATCATCGAAAATAGAATTGCATTAACAAAAGAAAAATTATTTGCATTTTTTATTTCACTTTAATATTTTATTAAAAACATTTTATCCCAAGAGAAATTCCATATATTTTTAATTCTTTTCATACTTTAACTTTGTAGCTCATATATACCTTATTATAAAATGCGTTTTATTAAAATTTTTCTACTTCTCATAATATTCAGTCTCTAAAAAAAAATTTAATCTTTTTTCCTCGGCTTTTCAATTTTTTCATAATTTTTGAAATATTTTTTTTTTATCAAAATAAAAATACACTTATAAAGAATCAGCTAATGATGAAATATTTCAAATTTCGTATTTATGAAATAATTATTAATTTAGTTAAATTAAAAAATTTTAATTATATAAAAAATTATGCGATTTTCTTTTGTTTCTATGTCACGATTATTTTAATGTTTATAAAAATATTGTTTTTAAAAATTTATTAATTATATATAAAATGTCAGAAATTGGGAGCAGAAAAGAAGATGAATTCGGAAGGGTAATTATATCAAATATTTTATCATTTTCAGAAAAAAAAATGAAATATTGGTTATAAATAAATATAAAAAAATTTTTTTATCTCGAATCTTTTACTTTTCAGCCTTTTAATATAGTTTTAACACAAATTCTTCAAGAAACCGAAAAGCAATTTTTTAAAATTGTTACCAGTGGAAATGTGGAAAAAGCTCAAAAATTTTTACAGGACCATAACAATTTTAATATCAACGCAGTAAATTTTCAAGTATGTTCTTTCTTTTTTTTTTCTTATAAAACTTTAACCGAAAAAAAATTCTTTTAGTTTGAGAAGAAATATTTTCGTGCGACTTTTTTTTAGAAAATCCAATTTTATAAAATTGTTATGAAATTAAAAGTTACCAAACTTATAATTACAAATTTATTGCAAAAAAAAAAAAAAAAAAAATGTTTTTAGAGATAAAATTGTCACGTAATATTTGAGAATAATTTTTCGAGAAAAAAAACCGATATTTACTGAAGATTTTTCATAAATATTTCATTTAAATACAAACAATTTATTATTCTTAAATTGTAATATTTTATACATAACGTAAAATTAAAAAAAAAAAAAAATACTGTCAATTTTAGTGAGAATAAAAAGAAATTTTTTTAATATTAAAGTATATAGATAAAAATTATTTCATTATATGAGAAACAAAAAAAAATCAATTTGCAAATCGTGGAGAGATAATAAAATAAATAAAATTTAGAGTTGAAAAAAGTAAACGAAAAGTGAAAGCAAATCGATACGCATCTTTTAGGATCTTCACCCTCTCTCTAATTGTAAAAGAATACACACGTGCGGATAAAAGCTGGCATGTTTTCTTTAAGCAAACTATACTCCCAACAGAGTTCCCAAAATCCCTTCGTTCGCGAGAGAAGAAAAAAAAAGAGAGAGAGAGAGCTTCTTTCCGTGTATATCTCTGGCTATAATTCAGTCCGCACTTTACAAGACAATGGTTTCAAGAAAGCAACGATAAAAATTATTCAAATGAACGTGCCGCTGTAAATTCCATTGAGAATTCAAATCAGCGTTTAACCAATCTCTCATTGCTCTCATTTTCAAATATTTCAAATATATTATGAATTTCTAAATCCGGAAAGTAAATAAATTAAATAATTGACTCACCACTATTCTGGACCAATTGATGTGTGAAATTGTAAACTGCCAAAAGTAACAAGCACATGTTTTCGGAATACACTTGAGATCTTTGATTTTTTGCTTGAAAACACTTTTGTTCACTAACGAAGAAAATTCACTCACTTCACTCCCGAAATTACGATCGCGATTATAAAATTTAACAAACACTCCCAACGCACGCACTTTTAAATATAGTTTAATATTACTATGAAATTTTCACTTTCAAGAAGAGGTCAACTCTGCATAATAATAAATGTAGAGGGCAGATAATTACTGATGCTTTTGAAGAGACTTTTATTGTCAACAAAAGACTAACACAAAGGAATATTTTTCTACCTGCACACAAATAGATTTCACTTTTATGTTTATTAAGACAATTTTCATTTAATTATTTCTGTCTTTTTTTCACTAAATATTTTTAATTAATAAATGATTACTTTTTCTTCCTTATAAAATGTAACTTAACCTCTAATTTTCTTCCTTCTTTCTTCTATATAATGTCTTTCAATAGTCGAGCGATTTAGTTTTGCTATATAATGTATTTTAAAAACACATAAAATCTTTTTCTTTCTGAAACATGTATTAAAATTTGAATGGTGTTGTGTTGTTTGCAAATTCCCACTTTGAAAATATGTTTCATTCAAATGCGCAAGCATGGTATGCGGGATATTTCATTGATGAAGGCGCCCGACAGCTGCTGGTCCGTTAACCACAGGGTCTCCTACATATATCATGGATGTTGAAGATAGATACTGCGTTAAGTCTCCAGAGACTCTCACCGAAAAGCCATAAGAGAAGAGTGTGTATATCCACCGTATAGATTGTAGAATATTGTGACTGCTGTTGTGTCAATGACAATGCCGACATCGGGTGTTTATTGTCGAGTTTGGTTTTTGTGATGGGTCGCCACACGGTGAGTGACAAAAGGCCCTTGTCCCATTTAGAAAAGATAGTATATAACCATGGCGCACGCCCTTTGAAAATTGACTCAAAACCGCCCAAGAGAATAATATTCTCCTCCACACTCAAAATATCCCCAAAAAAAAAAAAAATCTTGTCACATTCTTCGCGGAAAATTACGTCACGAGAGAAAAAAAAAGTGTCTTTTACTTTTACTATTTCTTTTCAATAATAGCGATTTTTTACGCAAATTAACTTTTTTTGTGCAATAAAAAATAGTTTTTTTTTAACCAATTGCAAAAAGCTTATTTCATCCCGAAAATAACAATAAACGTCTTTTCTTCTTTTTAATTGACTTTGATTTTCTTTTTCTATTCTTCACACTTTTTCACACATCCCGCGAAAAATAATTTACGACTGATAATTTTGCGCGCTTTTAAACAATTTAGAGGTTAAGTTTGCGAGTTGCGCAGTAAACGTATTCACAACCCCGTGTGAATAAAAAATATACTGTCCAAAAATATTTGATTGGCTCTTCCAATAGATTTGGACTAATTACAACCAATCAAATTTGTTCTGTAATTATTTTGTCTACATTCGATATATGTAAATGCACTCTAATGCAGTAAATGACAGATATCACAACAAATATACTGAAAATACTGGGTTAAGAAATAATAAATATGAATAAAATAGAATTGAAAGTAATTTTTTCCATAAATATTATGTGAAATGAAATTGTTGCAATAGTTAATAGGAAGTTAATAGGTAAAGAATTTATAAATGTAAATACAAATGTATATTTATGTAATTTCTTAAGGATTTAAAGTTTAAGGGAACCATACTTTTTCACTGTAAATGTTATTTCAGCTGCTTGTTGGCTTTTTATTAGAAAATATTGACTTTTCCTATACATATTCGCTCGATTGTTGACGAGTTAAAAGAGGTTGAAGTTTAAGTAGCATATAAACCACTAAAGGTGTCCATTCATTTTATATCGGGAGACTGTCGCCTTTTTTAAAAGGATACAAAATACATGAATCTACAGTGTAACACTGTGCAAGTCTCAGCATGCTGTGCTTCACTTTTGTAGACTTAAATCGGTACCGACAAATGGATACACGCGTCCCTCAGCAGGATATTTTGGATGGAAGTCGTTGCGGTGTGTGTGATGTACACTGACACAATTTTTTTTTTGTCGCAACTATATATGGTATATATTATTGGGTTAGAAAAAAAAAAAAAAAAGCTCTAACCAAGATCTCACTGATCGATATCCCTTCGATGACCTCGATATCTTGTCCCTATATAGACACACCTAGGGATCGTCTCCACACCGGAAATACCAAAAAAGTAATATAGGCGTGAGATTTCCGTATCTCGCAGTAGCAAAAATTTTTAAATTCGATGAATTTAATTTACAATTTAAATATTTAATTTTTAAAAAATGATGAGCGTGTAAAATTTTATTCGAATTAATAACTCTAAATTTTAATATAAGAAAAAAAAAAATTGCCACTGAGGAAATTAAAATGACTTTATGTTCTTAAAGTGGATACTTAAATATTAAAGTCTATACCAAATTTGGTATATTGTGATTAAAATTAGTCGCAACAAAACTTTTACAACTTGTAATATTTTTTATATTAAAATTTCTAAAATTTTTTTAATTTTTTATAGGGTGTAACGGCACTGTATCTAGCGGTAATGGATGGAAATATAGTCATGGTAGAATTTCTACTTTCACAGGAAGATATTGAAATTGGTGACACTGTTCTACATGCAATTAGAAAAAATGAACATAAAATAGCTTTGATGTTATTAAATAAATTGGAAGAAATTTCACCGGGATTAGAGCGTATTGGTATTACAGAAAGTTTCGATTTTCCTGATGAAACAACACCACTTTGTGTTGCTGCACAATATGGACATTTTGAAATTATTGCCACTTTATTAAAACGTGGACATACATTAAAAAAACCACATCCACCAATTTGCCAATGCAGTGATTGCAAGTATATAATTATATATTTTTCTTTGGCAAATATATTTATACCAATATTATATATATAATTACCATTTTTATAATTTTTATTGACTAAAGTTAATTTTATCTAATAATTCCAATTTATTTGCAAATATGATGAAAAAGTTTTCTTTATAGAAAAAACTCTTTGAATAAGATGAGAAAAAAAGTTATAGGAAAAATTAGAATTTGTTTTTTTTATTAAAAATAAATTGTCCGCTTTTTGCAGGAGTGAAAGAAGCAGCGACGATCCATTGACAGTGCAAAAAATGAGATTTTCTTTATATGAAGCTGTGTCAAACCCAGCATTTATTTGTCAGACATCCGACGATCCTATTCTTGAAGCTTTTTTGTTATCCAGAGAATTAAACGCCTCTGCCCATTTTGAAAAGGAATATTTCTATTTCTACAAAAGTCTTGCTAAAGTAACTTTTTAATAACAATTTAATCACTAATTTTTTTTTTCAAATTTTAAAAATTCTAAAAGAAATTTGTCAAGATTCTATTTTGCAGAAATAAAATTTAAATATTTATTTAGCTTTGAGAGAAAAATTTTATTTATGTTTTTTTTTTACTGTGTTTTATATAAAATTTTTATATGTCCAGAAAGTTAATCAGTTTGCAACGGAATTAGTGGGATGTTGTCGCACCGTCGAGGAAGTAGAACTTATTTTAAAGCAAAATTGTGGTTTATGTTTTTCGACCCATTTCATATATCCTCGCTTACTGCTCGCAATAGATTGTGATCAAAAAACATTTGTTGCTCATCCAAATGTTCAGCAGGTATCTAATTTTTTTTTCTTTTTTTCTATAGAGCATTGAATTTTAATTAATTTCAATTTTGTATAATAATAATTTACGATTTATAGGTGATTGAGAGAAAATGGATTGGCGATTGGTACGAGTGGAAAATTAAATCTTCTTTTAAAAAAACTTTAATGATCATCCCGCGAATATTAATGTTGCCTATTATTGCAGTAATTGTTGTTATTGCTCCAAAATGGAAAACAACAAAATATTACAAAATTCCAGTGAATAAATTTCTCTCGTCTTGCGCTAGTTATGCAGTTTTTTTATTCTTTGTTTTTTTACAATCAAATTGGGACCGGAAAAATCAATTACGAGGACCTCCGAACACAGGTTTGGATTAATATAAATAATTAATTTTGTTTTCACAATTTAATTTAAAAAATTGTTTTAGGATATGAAACTGCATTAGTCGTTTTTGTCATTTCGTATATGCTGTCAGCATTTCGATTGTGTATGATACAAGGTTCAAAGAGATTTTTCCGATCGCCTAGAAATTGGTAAATTGAATTTTAATTTAAAAACTAAATTTCATAATAAAACACTCTAAACAATTTTTTTTTTTTGTCAGGTATAAATTGTCGATGCTCGCTCTATTTTCTTTGGCGTTTTTATTTTGGATTGCGTCTGAAATGGACGTGCAAATGAATGGTCATCGTGATCTACAGAGAAAATATTGGCACGAATTTGATCCAACTCTGATAGCAGAAGGGATTTTTTGTATCGCCACTATCATGGCCTTTTTTAAATTACTTTTTGTATGCCAACTTGATTATCATTTGGGACATCTTCAAATTTCTTTGGGAAAAATGGTAACAGATGTTGCCAAGTTTATGATTATTTTTTCTATAATCATAATGTCATTCACGATTGGTTAGTAACTCGTTTAAAAAAAATTAATTTAATTAATTAATATAATAAAAAAAAATAAAATAAATAATTGAATTTTAAATTCTGCAATTTTAGGATTGGCGAAATTTTATCAATACTATGAGGGTATGGTATTGATTGATGACTCGGAAATAAAAGTACAGCAAGTCGATTCTTTCGTTAGTTTCATGTCAACTTTAAAAACATTGTTCTGGTCTATTTTTTGTCTGAGTGCAATTGAAAGTGCTGATGTGATTATCGAAAATCTTCCAAGCGAATCGGAAAATGGAACTATTGTCAATAAGCACACTTTTACCGAGTTTATAGGATATATTTCTTTTGCAAGTAATTTTTTTTATTATTCAACTTTTTTTTTCTCTGAAAAAAAACTATATTTTCATATATTGTATTTCAGCTTTCGAGTTTATTTCCGTTATTGTTGTATTGAATATGTTGATTGCTTGTATGGCAAATACATTCACGAGAGTGACGGAAAATATTGGAGTCGAATGGACTTTTGCTAGAACGGAGGTACTTGATTAATTAAAAATAAAAAAAAACTGATATTTTTTATATATGAAAAAAATACATTTCACCAAATGGAAAATGTTGTATTGAAATATTTAAAAATTTTAACATCGAAGATGAAATTTAATTCGTAATATTGATTTTAAAATATAAAGCGAAAATTTTTTTTTTCTCAAAGCTTTTTGTTACATGTGATAAATATTTTTTTTTTTAATTTCATAATTTAGATTTTAGATTATTACTTTTATTGAATTAATATTAATTAAAGTAACATTTTTAGCTATATATCGATTTTATGGAACAAACTACATTACCACCCCCTTTCAATCTATTTCCGACACCGGGGGGAATTCACTCGGTTGTTGAATATATCAAGGTACTAGTTAGACCACCTTCCAATAAATGTGCCCGATGGAGCATCAAGCACTGCTGTTACATAGTTAGTATCTTTCCTAGATACATAGTAAATTGCATTAAACCGCGCACTAATTAAATGATTACGTGAAATACGCAAGACCCCGTTATGAAATTAGTCGCACTTTGATGATATTAACTAAAAATTTTGTATAGTAATCAATTTTTTTTTTTAATTTCAAAAATTATTTTTCATTAATTTTTCCATAAGACTAAAAATACCCTGCTATATAATACAATTTCATTTATGTTTCCGTTATAGGAGGAAATGGATTCAGGGAAGAATAGAAAGGAGTTCCAAGTAATAATGTCTCAATTAATTTTGCGTTACTTTAAAAAAAAAGAGACGGAAACAACTGCATCTGAAGTTGACGGTCTTCGAAAAGAAATGCAAGAATTACGTAGTCTTTTACGCCATCATAAATAAATATATATGCATTTTATTAAATTTGCAAATCATATTCAAAATAATTTCCGAAGGTATAAATTTTCGAATATGAATTGTGATTATATCGTGAAATGCAAGCAATGTATGCACACATGTTTGTTTATTACATGTTTATCTTCAATAAATAGGAATATTATATGTACAAACGTTATCACACCTTCCATTAATTATAGCTTTAAAAAATGTTATAAAAATAATAATAAAAATATAATAATTATATTTATGAAATTGATATTTTGTACTGTTAAAATTTATTAAAAAGAAATAAATTAATAAATCAGTATTGGTTAAAAAAAAACAATAAATAAGAAAAATTTTAAAAATATTAAATTTAAAATAGCGTCAGAAACTCTTTTTTTCAATATCTAAAATAAATTATTGAAAATTTTATTTCAGTAGAGCGTGAATAATTAAAATATTCAATTACACAGAGACAAGGGTTTTGATTTAATGATCAATAGCAGATGACAAGAATAGACAGGGCATTATTGTATCTCATTGAAAATTATAATTGTATTGCTGACATAAATTATTCTTATTAATATTATTATCAATTAATAAAGTTAAAAAAAAAAACTAAAGAAAATTTTTTTTTGAATAATTTATTCTCTTTCTTTTGCGACGAAGAGAGGATCATGAAACATTATAAAAACGTTTTTCAAATCTTGTTACTTTCTTAAAAGCCTCTCGAGAAAGATAAATGGTATTATATATTATGTGCCTTGAAAAAAAAAAAAAAATTTCAACCAGAAAGCTTTTTACTTTAAATTTTACGCGAGACAATTCCCTGAATAAAATAAAGATATAAAATAAATACTTTGTTTTATATTAAGCACAATAATTTCATAAATATTTATTTTTCAAAAAGTAACTAATATTTTATTTACTTTATATATATATGTATATACATATGTATAACAAAAAATGTATTTCTTTATTATGATACTTTTATTCATACAATCCCCTTGACAAATTTGTGTGTCCTATATGAAAAATGAAAGACATTTTTTAGAAGTTGTAAATCACATAGTTCTGATTTAAATACTTAATCATAATGTATGATGAAAAAAATTCCTGACATAACATCCAAAATGTAAATTTAATTTTAAGATAATCTATAATCTCTAAATTCGAATTATTAAAAATTTTAAATTTCAATTTAGTATAGTAAAGTCAATTACTGATATAAATTAAACAAAAATTTTACTAATTCTGATTATTTTATAACATATGCCAATTATAGTAAATAAATAATAACTTAATATTATAATAATATTATTTACATATTATCTATAAAAAAAATCTTGAAAGTAGAACATCAATTTTTTTTTCTCTTTCGCAATCTTTTGTTCAGTATCAACATGCGTATACCTATACTCAATCTCGAATCTTTTTCTTGACTCGAAAAAAATTTTCATAGAAAAAAGGAACATGTAAATGAAATGATAAGAAAGAAAAGATAAAGGTTTAATTTAAATTTTGAACAAAATTTATTCCTTTTTTTGCGTTTAAAATTAATTACGATTAATCGTATTTTTAAAATTAAAATTTTATAATAAATAAAGTCTTTATAAATATTTAAAATATCTATGAATATTCAAGTATTAAATTCACTATGAAAAATTGTACTTTAACAAGTAGTAAAAACTGCGCTTAGTCAGACATATCCTTTATTAATGTATTTTCGCGATATATTAAATATTTATTCTATGAGGAAGCAATAAAATACAATAAATTGTTAATAATTTTTCTTTTTGCAAAAAATATAATTTTCAATTTTAAATAACTTCCTTCGAATATTCTTATCTCAAATGATATTGATCAATAAAAAAAAAAAACTGCGTTTCTTTTGAAGTTATAAAAATATATTTTTATTTTCATTTGAAATTGAATTTCAATCATGAATTTTAGTTTCAGAAAAATAAATCTCAATTCCAAATAGTAATTTTTACGATTTAATATAAAAAATTTTCATGCTTTTTAATATTGGAAAATGTATGAGTTCTCAGTTCATGTGTTCAACTACACTGATATTTTTGAGAATATGCGCATTCCGATAACATATCCTGGCGGAAGGACGAATCTACTCCCGCGCTGTCTCAGTTTGCACGCGGCTTTCGCGGTGTTAAATGTGAAATTTTACTTTAAAATCTTATATTATTCAGTGAAATATAGTTTTTCCAAAAATTTTATTCAAATAATATGTAGTATTTAATTTTTGTATTACAAAAGAAAAAATGAAATCATATTTTTTACCGCCGTACTGTAATTGCTAAAAAAAAGAACATTTTATTTCAATTTAAGAAAATTTATCGAAAATGAAATGAAGATATATTTTTTAAAAATGTAAGTTTTTAAATAATTTTAAAGATATTAAAAATATAATATAATTCAAAAAAAAAATCCCTGTAATATTGATTAGAAAAAATAAAATAGTTCCCTTTAGATTTTCATGAAAATGTAATTGAATTATTTTCAAGGAAATTGTTTTTTTTCTACTATAATAAGGATCTATAAGTTCGACGTTTAATAAAACTGCATATTTATTGCATTTCATTTGCATTCAAAAACAATTTTCCACGAAGAATAATAATAAAAAAAAAAAAAAATGTCATTAAAATAAACTCTACAAATATTTATTTATATTATTTGCTTCAGAAACTAAAATAAAAAGTTTATCGCTAATTTACATAAGTAATTTATAAGAAAAAATTTCATTAAAGCGATTGAATTAGTAAATTAATTAAAATTTATAGAAATTTATAACTAACAGCTAAATTAATTAAACATTTCTAATTCTTACAATTTTTTTTTTTTTTCAAAAAAATTTTCTCTTTCAGATGCAGGACGAACTTTCCATTTTACTAATAGTAATTTTAGCAATTGGAGGAGCAACATTGATGACACTTTTACTCAGTTGTTATGCTTGCATTTTTCGGGATTTATGTTGTAAACAAAATCAACGTCTCAAAAGAAGAGCAAATATGCAAAGAAGTATTCGTGGTTCACCAAATAATAATAAACAAAATTTATCAGACGCAATAGCAATGAATGATTTAACACAAGGAGAAAGTATGCCTACTGAATCTGAGAAAGTTTAGAATTTTATAATTCCATTAATAATAAAATCAAATACAATAGAAATTTTTTTAATATATATAACATAAACTAATTTTACTTTTGTAAATAAATGAAAATCGAATTTCTCTCTAAGAGACAACGTATCTAGTCTTACTATTCTTTATATAAAGAAGTAATTATACAAAACGTATTATATATTTACAAATATATAGATATATATATATACTCATGACAGTAAATGTATAAAAGTGTCTTTGTCATAAGGTACTGAACATTGGACATTCGAATTTATTACACCCACATTTTAATGAATGTATAAAAAAATAAATTTCTTATTATTAATCTACCCAAGTTCTACTGGGTAGAAATTTTAATTATGTTGGTAACTGCTCTATGACTATTTTAATTATGACACAATCCCTTAATCAAATATTACCTGTCTGGCAGTTCATTTGGTCGTTCAATTGATGTAAAACGGAAAGAACAACCTCGTGAAGTGTCTAGAAGTAAATTGAATTTTTATATTCAATAATTTATCTCTTAAATTAATATTATTAGTGAATTTCAATTATTTACCTGAGGTTTACAATGTTCCTCCAACCAACTGAATACACACGCTGATAATTCCGCAAAATTTGCCACAGATATATTCTCAAATGTGAGAAATAAACGATCCATAATTGCCTGAAACTGTATTAAAATTTTCTAATTTTTATTTAATAAAAATTATTTAATTTCTACTTTTTAAAATTCGATTAAAAAGAAAGTTTTTTTTTATTTTTTCAATTTACATACCACTTGAAATTTTGTTTCATCTGAAACTCGCATTTCCGAATGTCCCGGTTGTGTTTGATGTGCTTTTACAATTTGCTCATAATTATTTTGCATTATACGAAGTGCAACAACTTCCTTACGAAGGGCATTTCTCTCCTCTTCCTGTTTCTTTTTTTGTTGTAGAAGAAATTGAATATAGTCTATAGACTTTTGTAAAACAGTTGCCTTTGAAAGTTTATAGCCAGATGAATCTGTATGTTGACACGTTGGCACTAAATCTTGCAGGGAATCGTATCCCTTTTTAATGGCGTCTCTTCGTTTTTGTTCTGCTTGCGTATGAGCTTCTCTTCTTCGCTCTTTATAACTAACGGTGGAATTTTTATTGTCACTATCTTCATCCTCTGACAAAAAACAAAAATCATTTAAATAATAAAAACAAAATTCTAAATTATTTCTTAAATTGTAGTGTAATTAAAAAAAATGTTTATTGTGACTCACCAGTATTATGAGCTGATGAAGAAGGTGTATTAATTGATCCTGTACTATTACATCGTGTAAAAGCATATCTTTCTGTAGGACTTGAAGGTTCCAGTTTCATGTCCCCATCAGGTGTTGAATTAGATGCTGTATTTCTCGCTGATTCTTTAAAAAATTTATCGTTTAATAAATATACAAAAAAAATTTTAATCTTATTCTATAATTGTTTTTAAAAATATATATTTTTTTTTTTGGTATATTTTAAATACCCATCATCTTTTAGTGTATAAGAAAAATTTTTCGACTTACTAGCTTCATATACTTCTTTATTTTGTCCATCGGCCATTATGTGAAATGTTTCTCGAATGCCTAATTTAATGAAGAAAATTAGAAAGTCTATTATTAAAAACTAAAAAAAAATATTAAGTATATAAAATGTGTGTGTGTATGTGTGTATTCGACAAAAGATCAGCTGATTTTCATATAAAGAAAAAAAAAATACTTACAGGTTTTTGAAAAGTTTTTGTGATAATCTTCAAGACATTGTTTCACAAACCAATATGTTAGTTATCAATAAAATAAATATGGAAAAACTAATGCCACATTAAGTACATGTCGCAATAAAAAAGATCATTAGATATGCTCATTTTTTTCTCATCTCAAAAAGAAGATAAAATTATCATTCAAGTGACGCACAATAACCAGTAACCCAACCAAACCTAACCTTTCTCTTTTCTGTCTCTTTTTATACGATACTAGCGACACTCGACCTTCATATGAACTAGATGATGTAAATACATTTACACGTGGTCATTTTGACATCTGGACTCCTAAATAAGTTTTTTATTTCTCTTTTATAAATTTAAATATTTATAAAATTTTTAAAAATATATTTTCTTTTAAATTAGAATATTAATTAATATTCTAAAATTATAGGAAATTAATAATATTAAAAAAAAAAATTAAAATTAGGTCAAATAAAACTATCAACTTTAGTACCTGACAAAATTTATTTATTTTTGTTTATATCTTTATACATTTGAATGCATTCAAACGACATATGGGAATTTGTGAGATATTTTAAACTGTCGCAGCAAAATATCGACATATACATATATATAAACGACGTTTTTTTTTTTTTTTTTAAATAAATTAAAAATAAGTGTAACCACTTATTATTATAAAAGCCATGAATGCAATAAAAATGTGAGCATTATGCACGACTTTATAATGTGTTTTTATTTTTTATTTTTTTTTTAGTAACGTTTACATTGCTAGTGATGTTAACGATCATTTCTAATTCAAGTTTCATATTCTAAAAACAAGCTTTTCCTTTGATGAATTTTAACATCTTTAATTACAAAAAGAAAATATTCTATTTTGTGATATCATTTTGAGTCGTGGAATTTTTAGATATATTTTTTTTTCCTTCGCACAAAAATGTTATTCTCATTGGAAAATAATAATAAAAAAAAAAAAACTTGTTTAGAATTTCTAATAGTTTTTCGCTTTTTGAAGAAAAAAAAAAGTTTTTTTTTATCCAGACACTTGAAACATAATCGGATTTTTAAATTCGGATTTTTATTTCTAGAAATATCCCACAAGAATTACAAAGGTCACTTACTTATGATTGGAATCAATAATGTGTCTGAATTTAGTATATGTATCTCTTATTACACAAAATTTTTCTTTTCTTATTCTTTCTTCCCTTTTTTTTCTGGTAATTCCTGTTTGACTCGATATAAAATTATATATATATTTATATATATATATATATATTGATTTATTTATATATATTTATATATATTTCAATAATTATTTTATTATTAATGTTATTAATATATCTTATTGTTCAATTAGATTTTAAACTAAAATTCTGTGGCAGTTGGCCTACTCGACATGTACTCCACTTAAATTCATTTATATATATTTATATATATTTTTTTATTTATATATAATAAAGTATTATTTTTATCTGTATCCTTTCTTTTAATTTTATAATAATAATCGTGGATAACAATATAATTAACTACCTCGTCAGTGATTGGTGCAGAGAATGTAGTATTGTTTCATCGTCCTGCTATCGAGCATTGCACAGAGTTAAAAATTCGTTACTGGAAAATTAATTGTTTTTATTCTATTGTGTCCGTGTAACGAAGACAAAGTGAAGTGCTTATAATTTTTTTTTTTTTTTCATTTAGAAAGAGATACAGTTGTCAGATTCATTATCAAAATAATATTAATTACCCTTCCTAGATTATAGGAATCTTTATTATTATTATTATTATTTTTTTTTTTTACTTAATATTGCAATCTATATTTTTCTAAGAGACACTTAAATATTTTTGATGTTATACTTTTCAAACAAGGTGACATACACTTTAAATTGAATATCAATGTGATTCCACAGAAAAAGTAGTACCTTAAAATCGAATTACTTGTTAATGTAATTCGAGAATTAACAGCCCCTTTATTTAAAAATCAGACCTGCATTCTGTCTTCTTTAAAAACAAAAAAGATTTCCGCGTAGTCTCAAAATTCTTTTCAAATGTCATTTTACGCGTACAACATTGAAAAGATTATTAAATAATTTTTTTGTCAGGAGAAAAACAGGCATAAAATTTCTATTTTTCTTTTTTTTTCCCTTTTATTTTTTTTTAAGAATTCGAGCAGTTTCAATCACGTTCAAAATTACATGTAAAGAAACTTTAGCTTGAATGTAAAAAAAATATATTCCAACCCATTAATAATTAAATATACATATATACGTATCCACTCATTAATAATTCAGTTTGATTTGAATTAAAGATATTATTTATTCTAAAATGCAATAAAATTATTATAAGATTAAAATAAAATGTGAATATTGAAATTTTATTATTCACAAAAAAAAAATTGACTAAACATTTATTTGCTACTAACCAGAGACGCGATGTGTTGCAGAAATTTCCTAAGAGAGAGAGAAAAAAAAACGGTAGTGTGTCTTGTAAAGTCAGTAGGTAACTGAAAAGTTGATATGATTATTAATTAATTAGTGCGAAAAAAAGTACCTACACGAATCAATGATTCTTTCAGGTACATGATACTTCGCTACCATTCGAGTATTAACTACAAATCATTCTATAAAATTAAACTATGTTAAATATGTTCTATGTTTCTTTCGTGTACTTATAAATGGCGATCGAAATATCCGAGACATTCATTTTTCAATGAAATATTGCTTATTAAAAATTATTATTTTCTTTAACCAAAGATTTTTATCAATCTTTTTTGCCCTTGCATTATTAAAAAAGACAGAACTAAATATATGCACTTTAAAGAAAAAAAGAAAAAAACACAAAAATATTATATATAATAACCAAACAAACATTAAACCCCTTAAAATTCTATACAAATCAGTTTCTTGTTATTTAATGATTTAGAAGAATATTTTAGGTACATTAATCTGAAAACTGCTTTAATAACCAAACATTGCAGTTTTTGTACAAATTAGTTGAAATAGATTAATGTGAACTTCTTTTTAAATTCACAAATTTGAGACCGTAATTTTTTTCAAAAATTTAAATATCATACGGTCAGTAAAATAAATTCACATTCTCTTTTAAGTAATAGAGCTGTGAAAAAAAATATGATATTTGCTTTTTTTTCTTTGCACAAAATATTATTTAGACCACAGCAGGAAAAAAAAAAGTTCCTTGGAGCTGTGCAATAACTTCATCTTTTTCACCATGCAAACATTTTCATTCATATTTTTATATCTGAGAAAAAAATCACTTGGATTCTCATCTATCTATAGAGCCTAAAGTTTTGTTTTACAATTATTTTTTGTAAAACTTCGTTGCAAAAATGCAGGACGAGGAAAAAAAATTATTTTTTTTTGTACTTTTTTGATGATCGCCTATTCATTGCCACACGTGAAACTTACAGCGTTTGCAAAATAAGACCTATCCCAAGAGACCCTTAAAGGATGATGGTACAATTATTTTTTTTTTTTTTGTACCATATTCAGAATTAGTTTAAATCTTTGAACGCTTAGTCTGACGAGATTTGGCAGTGCGACGTGGTTTTTTGCAACCATCGTTTGACGACTCATCTGAAGATGCTTTTCTTTTTGATATAACTGATATGGGCGCTTTTGGTGGTGCCATTTCTATTGGAGCAGTGCTTACTTGTGTTGCAGTTGTTGACGGTGAAATTGTATCTATTGGACTATCACCTTCTGGTATTGGTATAAAATCAAAACCCTCACCGAATGCTCCCTCAGGTAAAACACCTTGATTGGCAAGCGTTTGAAGATCGTCAATTGGCAGAGGAATAGATTGTCCACATCCTCCGCAAACTGGAATTGCTGGTGATCTTGAACGCCAATATTGTAGCTCTGTCTTGCATTTGTTTAATTCCTGCAGACATAATCGATTTAATATTTATGTATATTGTGTAAAAAATAGTCAATAAAACGTATTAAAAAAAAAGAGAGAGAAGAAAATTTGCAATAAATCAACTACCGAAATGGAATTTTGTTGATCCTCAACAACGTATTGCGGTAAAAACGAGAAAGTGTACCTTGGTAAATACCTGTAAGAGTGTACTAAATTTTCTGGATGTCTCTTCATTTTTCTTATCATTTTCATCCAAACGTGTTGCATATTCGACAATTTGCTTCTGTTGTTCAGCAATTTTCGTTTTACAATTTCGCAAATCTCTGCGCATTAATGTCAACTGACTATTGTACCTCTTCATGCCTTGTTTAATTTTACGAATTCGTTTTCGTAATACCATATTCGATTGTGGTGGAGCAACATTCGACTCCAAAATACCAGGTTCATCCGAAGAATGAACTGGCGATCCTTCTTCTCCGCTTCCTGATTTTCCTCCTACACTCAATGGTGCTGTGTCCAGGCACAAGAAAGGCTTATTTACAGTATTAGAGGCTAAAAAAAGGATAAATTATATTTAAAATTATAAAGAATTTAGAAAGACTCATTTTCCAAGGTATAACTTACAAGATAATGTTCCTGCAAAATCCAAAAAATCAGCTCCAAAATAAGGAATTTCTGGAAGAGTTGGTTCGATGCGTTCTTTAAAATATTCCATAGCCATGGTACTTAAATCGAACAATTCGTCAGTCACCTTATAAGGCCTGGCGAGTTTTGGAGTTACTTTTATATAATGAAGAATGCGATATACTTCGTCAAGAATCTAGAAAAAAAAAAAATATTTTTAATTTTTTATTAAAACAATGAAAAAAAATTGAGATTAAAAAATCATACTTCTCCGGGAAAAAAGCAGCAATGTTTTCGTTCGATATGTTTACCGAAACTCATTTGCAATAAAGTAAGTCGCATGTGCAAGGTTTCTATAATATCAGACTCGCAAGCCAAGGGATGATTTCGCCGTGCTGATTCCCTTCGAGGCATCTGTGCTTTGATCGCTTGAAAACGACTTAGCATTTGTGCTTGAAGTCGTTGAAAAGTTTTATTAAGTAATGAGCCACATTTGCGATCCATTTGATGGCATACCTATTGTAAAAAAAATTCATTTTTATTAAAAATACTAAATAAAAATTGAAAAAAAAATATTTTATAATACTTACAGGTCGTAAGCCAGCGATTGTATTGAAGCTCAAATAACTAAAAATTTTATCCTGAATCTCTTCAGGTAATTGTAAAATATTTATTTGACATGGAACTGGACATTCTACAACTTGTAGTCCAGTTGAAGTGCTCGGTTGTATATTTGTTGGTTGTTTGCGTGGTTGTACTTCTCCAACTGTATCGCAAACAGAACCACCAGCACTGCTTCCTCCCATATTACTTGATTGGCGTGTGGACACCATTTTTTTCTTTCTTCTAATAATCAGCTGTAAATATAAAAAATATAATTTACAAAAAAAAAAAACCAAATATTTAAATATCCATACTCTCTCTAGTTATTGTTTCAAATAAATAAAATAAAATTAATAATTAAATTGCCATTTAAAAAAAAAATTAATTAAATCTTTTTCTTTTATTAAAATATAGTTCAAAACTAAATTTGGATAGTATCAATATTAATCACACAATAAATAAATATAGGCAAAGCAATGAAAAAAGTACAAATAAGGAAAAATACAAGTACAAATGTGATTCAGTGAATTGATTAGTAGTCATAGGTATTTCTTGAATGTTATTAGAAAAGATGAAAAGGGACTTGCCTTGTGATTGAAAAAACACACGCGAAGAAATTAAATTTTTACGCAAGAAAAACATACAAGCTGTAATCGATGCGACCGTATTGCTGTTGACGTCGCGAGAGAATGATTTTTGTTGTTGGTGAAAAAATACAATTTTCAACTTTTTTTTTTTTTTTTTTTATCTAATAAACAAATAGATAATGAAAATAATTAAATTCAATTTCAATAAAACACGCGTCAAAAAAAAACAATGAAGGGTAAAATTTGAAAATCTTAATCCCTCATACCCAAATATATCACTGCATCTGCGTTAGTTTCAGCGACATTTTGACGATGCCCCTTCCCAAGTCCAACGCAACGCGATGGTTGCTTTCTCGTTTCTTTATTTTTTTTTTTTCGTTTTTCTCCAGCTTCCTTTTTCTTTTTCTATTCTTCACGTTATTTATTTCCTTCTTTTAATATTCACTTTTTTATTCCCTATACTAAATTTCAATTCTTTTTTTCTCAAATATGTTTACTTCAACCGCACTATTTTCTTACATTTTCACTCGGCAACAACAGAGCAACACAGGGAAATTTACTCGTCGACTATTGTACATTTATATATGTATACTTATACATATATGTATATTTACACTTGCACAAATGAGAATAGTATGAATGTATACAAAGATGGTGTAACCAAAGGGAACGGGAATTTTTGACCTATCCAACTTTAAAACCCTGTCACTTACCTATATGTTGCTGAGGTACTAATTTAGCTTTTTGCATCAGTTTCTTGACAGATGTATCTTTAATATTTGACACAAAAATATCCACTTGACAAAAAATGGTTATAAATAATACACTTTTACAAACTTTTAAACATCAAATGCAATTATTAGATGGGAAATTTTTTTTTGTCATTATATTATTAATAAAGAAAGACTAATGATTTGGAAAAAAAAGACAAAAAATGATTGAAGAGACAAGGAATTGAGGTTATAAAGAACTATATATGTTTAACGTTTAATGTGTTTAATGACAGTCAGTTGACGAGTTGACGTAAATATGCAACCTCTGTCGGTAAGTAGACAATGCACCTTTCAGTCGATAATTTACCTACTACTTATAAAATTTAAATAATTTGCGGGAAATTAAAATTTTTTTTTTTATGTATTTAATAATAATATATTTAAAATATAATTTAAAATAAAAATTACTTTTATGAGAATCAATGAACTTAGAGACAAAATTTTTTGCTTAGTAAATTATATACAAAATGTGATATAGAAATTGATATGATATGCAAAACCCATATATACCTAATAATTTTTCATACTATAATTTTAATAGAAAAGCTATAGAATTTTCTTTTGATACGTTTATGAAAGGTAAATGAATTTCATTAAATTATATTCTTTATACAAATGCTTTTTCTTAGAAGAACAATTTTATATTTTTCTGTATTAAACATTTTTGCGAGTACAAAAATTAAACAAAATAAATAATAATAAAATTATAACAATACATGAATAATATTAAATAATAATTTATTAAGTGTATAAAAATTAAATACATTTTCAGCGAGTTTTTTTTTTTTTTTTTTTTTTTTTAAAAAATCAATAATAATAATTAATTCGTCAGGTCACTAATAATAATTAATAAACAATTAAATTAATATAATAATTAAAATATATTATTCTTCACTCATTTGTCGTAAAACAGTGAAATAAGAAAGTCCAGTTTTTGCCACCTGATAAAAAATCAAATTAATAAAAAATTGTAATTTGAGTTTAATAATGAGGAAAAATTTATCGTGGAAGCAATTTTTGTATTTGTAAAATTTTATTGAAATATATTTTGAATTATTTCTATTTTTTTTTTTTTTTTTCGAATGTAATATTATATATTAAAAAATATTTTTACCGCAGTAAAAGTATTTAATGATAATGGAGTAAATTTTCCAACACTCAAAACGCAAGGACGATGCGATTTTAACATAAGAATATTAATAGCTTGACGAAAATGTTTTCCTTCACTATACCATTGTGATTTATAAATTGCATAAAGGACAGATTCACTTTCCAAAATTATTTGATGTGAGGACCAGGCAAAAAAATATAATTGAAGAAAACTGCCAATAAAATATTCAACGCTCAATATTGTTCGATTAAAAGAATTTCCCACGCCCTTAAAAAAAAGAAGAAGTAGATTTATTAATTTATTATTAATATAATAATTTTTTTTTTAATTATTATTAATATAATAATTTTTTTTTAATTATTATTAATATAAAATTTTTTTTTAAAATTATTAATAATTATTTAATAAAACATAAAATTATACACACCAAAATAATTTGAAATCCAGAAAAACAAATTTGCATCACCGAAGTAAAAACTTGTCCCAATACACAATATGAATAAAGATTTTCAATTCTTTCAATATATTTTATCAATAACTGATGAAATTGAATACAATTTTTTAATTTCTCATAACTATTATTGTTATTTAATTTGTGATTTTCATAATTATTTAATGAATTGCAGGTGTGTTGTAATTTTTTTTGTAAAATTTGAAATTGTCCCGCAGTAAATATGTTGATTAAGAAAAGAAAATTTGCAAATGTCGTACAACAAATGCATACGCTGAATGTGGAAATTGACTTTTATTCAATATTTTATTAATATTTTGATTTATTTGTTAATTTTAAGTAATTAAAAAATTTTTATTACTTAGCTAATTTATGGCAAAATTTAAAATTTTTATATTAGGGAAAAATACCTGTAAAATATAGATAATTTCATAAAAAGGAGTTTCCTTATATGGAATATTAAACCATAGATTAAAAGGTAAAATTCTTTCAGATATATTTCCTTTGTATTCTAGAAAAATAAATTTGTAAAAATTTTATAAAAATTTAAAGTTTAGTATATTTTTAATTTAATAAATACCCAGTATTGGCAAAGTCACGTAATGCCATGCAATTATTTGCAGTAAAATAGTAAGACCAAGGCAAGAAAAAATACAAATTTTATTACATTTTTTTAAAATAAACAAATCCTTATTATTGTATTTAATTTTCCAAAATGTTTCTTCTGTGTAAGAATTAAAATTCAATACTTCATTTCGTGAATAAACGAATGATAATAATTGTCCCAATGTTGAAAAAACAACACTTGCACAAGGAGCACAAAATGTAATAGCCTAAATAATTTTTTTTTTTTAATATTTATAAAATTTTTTTTGTTTTAAAAAAATACCTTTATATCACCCCAAGAATAATAGAGATCCATTCCCTCAATCATTGTTGCAAAAATCATTGTAAATAATGTGTAAAATAATATAAAATTTGAAAATAAAATTTGACTCTTATTTTTCGATGGCCACATGCCAATAAGTTGCATAAAAAATCGAATTAATTTTATTGAAATATAATTGTTGACAAGCATCTTGATTTAAAGTGTAGATCGAATCGAATTGAACTTAGATAGTATATATATATATATCAACTATATAATTATCTTTATACCAAAGACTAGCAATGATGAAGTAATGAATTTTTTATAAAGGGAAGAAAAGCAATTTTGCTACATAGTATCATATATAATATATGTACTTTTGGCTTTTACAATTTGTACCTTTGCGATTTTGTTCTTTGTCGCAAATACTATACTTTTTTTTTAAATATAACTTTCGATATTATAATACCTATATATTTAAATATATATTTAAATATCGAAAAGCATTCGCGTCACGTATTTTTTCAGTGTATGCAATATCGTACAGAATATTCGTGACTCACATAATATATTATGATTTGCGATGAAAAAAATTATATTCAATCGATGAAAGATTTTCGTTTTTAACTGTATATCATTCTTGTCTTATGTGTAGCTTTCGGGAAAAGCGAATTTATTTTTTAAAATAATTTTTTAAAAAAATAAATTTTTAATTTGCAAATAAATTTTTTTAGTACAAATTTTATTTTAAAAATTAGTACAATAAAATTTATTTACGATTCAAATACTCGATTTGACTATTATCAAATAAATATTTTAAATAATTTTTATTTAAATTGTATATTTGAACCAATAATTTCTCTGTTTGCAACAAATAACAAAATAATAATTGAAATATTTATTTGAAATAATAGTCGATTATTTGAATGAAATTTTTTTTGTATTAGAAAATTGAAGTATATCATTACGATAATGTTCCTGTTATACATTTTTTATGATATACATAATAGTAGGTTAAATTTTATAGAATCCTATATGAATATTTTATATGATCGATATTTGCGTCCTGCGATTTTTTTCATAATGACAGTCGCGATTTAACCACACACAGCGAATCTGGACAGAAGAGAATATAAAAATTTAATACTCAAAAACAATTAAAATAATTTTAATCTTTCTTATACATACCATTTATGTATTTTATAATTTGTATACAATGTGTGAAAGTATGTCACACATTCCTGATTCGATTTCCAATGATAACAGGATGCAGATAACTATAATTATTATTATTGTAAATATTATTCACGTTTCATACATTTTCTTACATATTAAAAAAAAGGTATGTATCAATTATTTAAACTTCACTATTTATTATATTCTTTAAAATATATAAAAAAGAAAAAAGTACGTTAACGATATTACCTTAAAAGTAAACACAGAGCAGAAGACAATTTTCAGTAGTAGAGTACAGTTTTGGTCAGACAACAGTTTCTAAATAAGTTTTTAATTAGGAAGAAGTGAATTGCAATGTAAATAAATTTCTAATATTTCGAAATTCTAATTTTGTATTTCAGTATAGTGAAAGTGATTCTTAAAACAATTTTTATATTAGTTTGTAATTTAAAAGCGTTTCTTTCTGCTTCCAGACAAGAATTTCATCAATTTTTATTTTTTGCAACATTTGCGTAAGTAATCAAATCAACTACATAATATTTTCTATCAGTCCATAATTCTCTAGTACATTGTTGTCTAAAATAAGAAAAATTTATTAAATTCAATCATAATAAATAAAATAATTTTTTTTTAAAAACTGCGTCGTTCCTAAAAAAATAATTGAACATCGGACGAGGTGGCCGAGTGGTTAAGGCGTTGGACTGCTAATCCAATGTGCTCTGCACGCGTGGGTTCGAATCCCATCCTCGTCGTATATTTTTTTTGTTTTAAACAAATTATTTCTTTATCACTATTTAAAAAATAATTAATTATTGTTAATATATTATTTTATTATTCATTTTATTAGGTATTTGCAATATTAACTCAACATTGCATGTAAATATTACCTGAACATTGCAATACTTTTTTTTTTTATATAAATAAATATTTTAATTTAATATTAAACAAATATTTGTTAAATATATCAAAGATTGAAATTGAGAAATATTAAACTTGATTTAGCAGTGATTTTTGATAATTAATTTTTCAAGAAGAAGTTATTAATATCTACTTTACCGACAACTTGCATATAAGTTTCGAAGTAACTGGATGTCATTATGTTGCATTCTAATAAGTGGCTTTATATGTCAGAGTTCCTGGATAAACAATAACAATTGTTTTATTCACTTGTATTTATAATCATGAATTTATCAACTTGCAGTGAAATAACTCCACTTTTAAGTAAGTACTTAAAAACTATATTTATTATTAATATAAAAATTAATTAAAGAATTATTTTTTGTATTTTTATCGACTTTTTTTTATTTTGGAAATAGAAGAATTATATTTGTATTAATAATGTAAATATTTATTCGTTTGAAACGAGTTTTTTTTCTAATTTTTTTATTTACTTTATCGATGATTGACATTTAGAGAACTGATAAATAATGAATTAACGATGATAATGACTATAAATTAAGTGAAGCGAATAATTTGAATTGAAGTAATTTTAACGTAAAGATAGTGCGCGAACAAAGGTAAATGAATCATTAATTTTTTTTTCAACAAAGATTCATATGTTATCTCAAATTCCTTCAAATTTATATAAATAATAGCAGTCGTGGCCGAGTGGTTAAGGCGTCTGACTAGAAATCAGATTCCCTCTGGGAGCGTAGGTTCGAGTCCTACCGACTGCGAAAATTTTTTATTTATTACAATTTCAAAAAATTAAATAGTACTCTGTATGAAAAAAAATTTATATTTTTTTTTAATTTTCTATTAAATACTAAATGTTTCACTAAAACGGAAAATTTATAAGAGAAACATATCGTTGTTCCAAATAAATATTCTTTTCTAATAATAGAAAAATAAATTTGTAATTTTGAAAAAGTCAATTTTTTTTTTATACTGATTTTAAAAAAAATGTATACAGTGTTAATTGCCTTGCGGTAAAAAATGAACTTATTAATTATTACAGAGCAAAAACCATATTATTTATTATCTCTTATAATTTATATGAAGAATGATTCCTTTTTTTTTATTATTATTATTATTATTATCACTCTCATGGATGAGTAAAAATAAAAGAAACCGCTACGGTCTCGTGACTACTCGTGACTGATAATTCCACAATATAATCCTCTTAAGCTTTGTGTATATGAATTAAATGTTTAACATCTAATGTTTATTTTAAAATTTAATTTAACCACAAAAATATCTCCTTTTTTTGGTGCAAAATTAAATTAATAATATTTTACAAAGAAATTAAAATGATTTTAATTTGTCAAAAAAAAAATTTATTCTTTTATTTCATATAAAATATATAGAAGAGAAGAACAAGGGGTTTATTTTATAAAATTTTATTTATTAAATCATTCAAGTGTAAAATTAACAAATATATTTTTTTTTTCTCTTTGTTTAATACATTTTTTGCAGACAAAAAAAAAAACGTATTACATCTTTTATCATTATATATACTAATATATAGTCGAATTATTAAAATAGAATATTTTAAAATATATATACATCTGTCTATATATGTTATCTTTGGTTATTTATACAATTTATTATCTAGTTTTTTATTTCTACTGTCACATTTTTGTCATAATACTATATAATATATCAATTTTTTTCAGTTTTTTAAATTGATGTATTAAAATGACATTAATTTTTCAACAGAACATTCAAAAATTAATATTATTTTTAACTGCGCACAATTTCAAAAACTTATTCACAAAATAATATAAACTAATTATAGTAATAATAATACTTATGATAATAATAATAATAATAATAATAATAATAAAAATAATAATAATAATATAAAAAAAGGAACAAAATTTAAAGAATACTTTTGTTTTCAAATAAGTTTATCGTAATGAAAAGTAAACTTTCCTTACTAGTTTTGATGCTATACATAGAAAATTAAAAGGCATTAAAATAATCTGCAACGCTTATTATTTTAAACCAATTTTGTTTATTTTAATCCATTAGGGTATTAAAATAAACAAAATTGGGATTAAAATAATAAGCGTTGCAGCTTATTTTAATGCCTTTTAATTTTCTGTGGAATCAATAAAATTTTAATTGTCTCAATCAAAATTTGTTTGACACAACCAAAATTTTGTTGATTCAACAAAAAAAAATTTGATTGCTTAAATACCACACAGAAAATTAAAAGGCATTAAAATAAGCTGCAACGGTTATTATTTTAATCCCAATTTTGCTTATTTTAATACCAAAATGGATTAAAATAAGCACTCTCTGAATCTGAATTAGTAAAAAAGTTTACTAATTTGAATTCGTAACTCACTTTTTGCTTCTCAATTAGTAATATTTTACTAATTATTAGTAACTTTTACTAACAATTAGTAAAAATTTACTAATTGTTAGTAAAAGTTATTTACTAATTTACTAATTGTTAGTAAAAGTTACTAATAATTAGTAAAATTTTACTAATTGAGAAGCAAAAAGTGAGTCACTAATTCAAATTAGTAAACTTTTTTACTAATTCAGATTTAGAGAGCAATATTGGATTAAAATAATAACACAGAAAATTAGTCTCTAAATCTGAATTAGTAAAAATGTTTACTAATTTAAATTAGTGACTCACTTTTTGCTTTAGAATTAGTTAAATTTTACTAATTATTAGTAAAAGTTACTAATAATTAGTTAAATTTGACTAATTATTAGTAAAAGTTACTAATAATTAGTTAAATTTTACTAATTGAGAAGAAAAAAGTGAGTTACTAATTTAAATTAGTAAACTTTTTTACTAATTCAGATTTAGAGAGTAAAAGGCATTAAAATAATCTGCAACGCTTATTTTAATGCCTTTTTAATTTTCTGTCTATAAAAAATCAACTTTTTAGTTTCATATTAAACAACTTTTAATTTTAATGCATTTTAATAATTAAATTCGACTTTCCTTTTGTTTTCAAATCGGAAGATTTTCTTTTATTTTGATTCTGAATCAAAAACAAAACATTTTTGTTTCTAAATATTGAAACAAAATAAAATTCGACTTCTGTTCATTGGAAATAATGACAATAGTAATATAGTAATTGATATCAGATTCATTTTGATCATTTTTTTTTTCATTAAAAAAAAAAAAAAACTTAAAATGAAAGTCATTTGTTTCTAATCTACTCAAGATTACAAAATAATTGTTTATAAATTAAAATCATAAAAAAATACAATAATATTTTTAAGAATTTTTCTTACTCTATGACAATATAAGTGATTGACTATTCAATTGCTTTTGTTTTTTTTCCCTAAATTACATTGTTTGGAATTAGCTGTTTTATTGAATTCATATAATTGTTGTAAATCAGGAAGACCTTGATGATGTATTTCACTTTTTTTAAATCCATTCTTTTTTGTCCAACGACCTGAGATAATATCAAATGCAGTAGGGAGATTTTTCTCACTGTTTTCAGAATTTGTGTTTTTAATAACAAGATTAGAATTATTTTGAGAAAAATTGGTTTCTTTTTTATCATCACTTTCTTCTTTTTTTAGTTCTTCTTTTTTTATTTCTTCTTTTTCTTCTTTCTTTTCTTCATCTTTTCTTTTTCCTATGTTTTCTTCTTTAATTTCTTCAATATCATCATCATCATAAATATCATCTTCATCATCATCATCAAATTCATTGTCATTATTATCAGCAAGAGGGTTAAATTCAATTTTTTTTGGCAAAGGCGATCTTGTTGAAAAACCTTTGGCTCTGTATCTTCTAACAGCGTGTTCAATTCCTTTATGTGGTCTATATTCAGTTCGATACTTTCTTCGTTTTCTTTTTTGATTTTCAGGACAGTCAATTTCAAGTGGCGCCGGTGATTTTAATAACCAATCTCTAGTATCCAAATTGTTTTCAGAATTTTTTGACTTTGAATCTGTAATTGATAAAACACAATTATCATTTGATGGAATAATTTTTTCTTGACAATTATTGTGATTATGTTTCTCGAGGTTTTTCTTCGATGTTCTTCTTGAAGAATTATTTATTGAAGGTGGTAATTTTTCTTCTTCTTCTTCTATAATTTTATTGTCTAAAAAATTAAGTGGATCTGCAAAATTCTGTTGAATTGGTAGGGTACCAATGTTTTTTGTATACTGCATTGCTCCGACTTCATAAAAATTTGAATTCTTTTCCTGTAGAAGATTTTCACTGTTACTGACAAATTTTGGATAATTTGTTGTATTATCAATAGTAGAAGATTTAATTGATGAGAAATTATTATCTTTTAAAAAATTTGTTGTCATAAATTCTCCATTATTGTTAGTTGGGAAAAAGGAATTATTTTTTAATTGATCTATTTTTGATGTTAAAAAGTCAGTTGTCGAGAATTTTGTACTATTACTATTATTGTTGGTATTTTTTGAGAATTTAGCGATATTATTTTGTGACATATTTTCAGGTGTATGCCAAGAACGAAAAAATTTAGGTTCAGAATGACTTTCAGGTAATTGTTGATTTAACATCTGATTATAAGGGGGAAAAAATTGTGAATCATTTGCAGGATAATTCATTGGATATGATTCGCCATTGATGAAATGCATATTTTTTCCAATTCTTTGATCATATTCGGAAATTCTTTTCATTTGTTCATAAATTCCTTTAGTTTCATATGGAATTTGTCCAGGAAATTGATAATGTTTGATGGATTTTTGAAAAGATTGATGATTTTCAGCCGATTGATTCGATTCATATGAAGATTGTTTGTTTTGTGGTGGTTTGTATTGAGGCATTTGATTTTGAGGTGAAATTTGATTATACATTGAATTTGGAATATATGTTTGTTTTTGAAATGGCACATGATTTTGTATTTGTTGATTTTGAATTGGAAATCGTTGATTTTGAAAGTGTATCTGATTATTGGTTTGATTATAATCATCAATTAATCGAGGAAAATTTTGAAGTTCACTTTCAGATTGATCGTAAAATTGAGGATAATTTTGATAGTATTGTAAATGTTTAACATAATCTGTATATGATTGGGAATATTTATAAATATGATCGGAATAATCAGGTAGCGATTGTAAATAAGGATTGTTTGGTTGTGGTCCATATTGAGATCTGATATTAACAGACTGTTGTCCTAAGTGTTCGGAATATTGTGGGGGACTTTTTAAAGATGCAGAAAGTTGAGAAAACTTTGGTAATTGTTGAGAATAATCTGGATAAGAATGTTGTTGTTGAGAAAAATTAGAAATTTGCGTATTGGAAAATTCGTGTGAACTAGGAAGAAGTTGAGAAAAACCAGGGGATTGAGAAACTAGAGATGAACCAGAAGATTTGGAACTAGATGGTTGTTGAATAAATTGAGAAGATTGTTGGGAAGAATTAAGAGGAGGAATAAATCCAGTGGATTGTTGAGTAAATTCATTTTGTTGAGATAGGACAGAATATCCCTTTGTTTGTGAAAAATTCTCAGGTCTAATTTGTGAATATGGTGATAAGGTTTGATGTTGCGATGGTAGATCAACTCGAGGATGTTTACTATTTAATGTTGGTTTTGGGTTAGAAGTATTATTTTTCCTCTTGGGAGCCTTTTTCTCATTGTTGAAAGGTTGCTTTTTCTTATCAGAATTCTTTGAACCAAGAGGTCTTCCTCGACGCTTTTTAGGTGGAGCTTCCAATAAATCCAGTAATATTTGTAAATCCCCTTGTTCATTTGGCGTTGAATTTTGTTGAAGATTCCTGTCACTGGATGACGTTGAAGATTTAAATAAATTGGCTTGAGATGTTTCTACATTGGTACTTCTTTCATTGCAGGAATTCGATGTATTTACAAAAGAATTAATACTGTAATTCAGTGGCTGATAATTAAGATTATCTATATTTTTGTTTTCATCACTGTATGAAGTAGGTGGCAACAAGAAATCATTTTCAAATGAAAGTGAATCTTGTTGTTCTTTTTGTTGAACCGGCTCCTGGTACATATCCATAAATATTTCATTTTCTTGATAAGAAGAATTGTTCAACTTCTGCATTTGTTCTTTCAAATCAAATGTGGTAATATTTTCCTAATTAAAACAATAAATTCAATTTAATAATGAAATTGTCAAAATAGTGTAACATTCTTTTTATAGAAAAAATTTGTAACATTTAATTACCTTGGGATGTTGACTTATTTCCTGAGAGTAATTTAGACAATTGTCACTAAAAGATAGTGAAGTTTGATTTTCAGATGTCTGGAAATTGTTCTCGTAGCCCATAATCCCTTTGTCCGTAAGTCCTCTTAAATGCGATCTTGAAACTTGGTTACTTAACGAATTAAGATTAGGAGATGAGACAACTGCACTGTGCGATCCCACGATAGCCTCAGATGCTAATGCCGGAGAACCAAAGTTATCTTTTCTTTCGTTATTATATTGTATGTGTTTCGATTCGTTTGTATTTAAAGGTGTTTCAGCGAAACGTGCACCATTCTCGTCGTACAGAACCATAGCTAAAATTATAGAATAATTATAAGACGGTATACTAAAATTAGTTATAAATTTTTATATAAACTGATAATAAATATATATTTCAGCACTTTATTGATTTTAATTTGCGAATGCGCAAATGTAAAAAATAAATATAAATATACTGGGTCGAAACATTTATTTTTTTAAAAGAAATTCTGCAAGTATTTTTTATAATTAATTAATTTCAAAAAAAATAATCAATTTGATTTTAATTTAAAATAAAGATTTGTCAATTTAAATTAAATTTTTAAATGAAATTAAATATTGTCATTTTAATTAATTATAAAATTAAGTCAATTTTAATTAAGACACCATATATAGAGCTCATGGCTGTTTAGTATGTTTAGTCTTCAATGTGTCAGAAGTGTTATTCATTTCATATTTTATGGCTTTCAATGGTTGGGACTGCGTAATATATATTCCTAGAAAGGTATACATATATAATTTTCATTATAGAGAAAAATGTTATCGTCTTCTTTAACATGATGCTCAAAATGTAATTTCTATTTTTTTTTTCAATTTCTTTCGAAACAAAATTAATATAAATAAAAAAGATCTGAAAAAAATTGTTTACAAAATAAAACTTGATTTTCAAAAAAGAATCATTTTTAAAAATTACAAGATTTATTATAACATTGTCTTTAGATAACAATTTTTTGAAAAAAAAATTTTTTAATTATTCCTTCAGATGAAATTTTTTCTGCATGCGCAATATTCTTAATCTGCATTTTTTTATCTATCATCGTCTCATGTTTCATGCGCATGATGTACCTTTCTGCAAAAAATCTGATATGCTCGAATATTTAAAAATTACTATTATAAATGTTATCTTTATTGTTATTTAATTATAATATATATTTACAATATATTATTTTTAAAAAGTATCCCTTTTTTACAAGGATATAAAAAGAAAATTTTAAAATTATAATTTGCCAACAATATGAAAGATAATTGATAATTTTATTGCAGAATAAAGAAAACGTGATTTGTTTTATTTTTAAAAACGATTAATAATATAAAAAGGAGTAGCAATTTGCGAAAATTATATTATTTTATAAATTTTTTATGATAAAAAATATTGTCTATATGAAAGAAATGTTATACTTACTCTCAACATTAAGAATCAACAATTAAACCAGTATCACAATAATTAACACTTTTTGGCTATTGTAAAACAAATGATTTTGTTTTTTTAAAAAAAATTAAAATTTGTAAAACACATTTTCACTAATTTTTATTTTTTTAAAAAAAAGAAAGAAATCACAAAATTCTTTAAAAATATTTTGAAATGCTTTTGAAAGCTGCTACGACGACGTCTCGAGGACCGATCTTAATCTCTCGAGATCTACCATGAAACTGATCCTGCTGCTTCTAAACATTCTTACCCATGAGATGGTTACTTTCAAGGGTACCCTCATAGACTATACAACCAACCCTGACCACATGGCTCTGAAGAGAATTGTAAAAAGAAAATTTCTAGGAAAATATATCTTCAAACCCAAAAATTGTGACCATCGATTGAAAAATTTAAAAGGGCGTAACTCTATATATGAAGAACAAAAGTGTCGTTATAAATTCTCCAGTTTTATAATAGGGGGGTCTTTTTCAGGTCCGTAGTAAGAAGTGAAGCTTTCATCGACCAACTATTAGGAGATGAATGTTATATAACAGAAAGAGAGAGAAAAAAACAGAATAAGGGTTACGTGTGAGGACTTGAGAGTCTTAACCCGAATTTCTTATTTTTCGGTAACATTTTTTTTTAATATAATCACTGACAATAAGCACTTAATTACATATTATTTTAAATGTTTTTATTCAATTATTATTTCAAATTGAATATATAGAAAATAATTAAAATAATGCAATTATTAAGAAACAATTTGTTTTTAAGGAAACTACAATTAATTATTTGTCAGAAAATAAAAGGCAATTTTGTGCTCCAAATTTGCATGAATTTTGAAAAATGAGAGAAAGCAGAATGGTCCTTTTTCAATAGACCCTTTATATTTATGCTCGTATTTATGTTTAAAATGACACACACTGTTGTATTTAAAATCTTTAGAAACGAAAACCACTTTACAAAAGTTGAAAGACTAGCGTTGAAATATCAATGACAGACTCGAACGTGTTTCAAAAAGCTTTAAGTTGAAAGTAATTATTATCAAGTTGCATTGGTTCCAATAACACACAATTTTTTTTCTTATTTTTATTTCAAAATCAGAAAAAGAGAAAATTTTTTTAATAACAATATTATTATTTTTAATAAATTATAATTTAAAATAATTTGTTGTTGATTTTTAGACAAGAAAAATCTGTCTTTTTTGAAATCAACTTGATGATACTCTTGTAATTGTTTTTACCTGCTACTATATTACTGCTAGAAACTTTTCAATATACCTAAGAAAGCTCAGGTAACCTAATTTAACTGAACTTATTATTGAACTTATTATTCCAAGAAACTGAATGCTGATAATCCTAAAATAACAATTTGTATATAATACTTTAGTTATTATATCTTTAGACATTAAATGAAGTTTTATGAAAGAAAATATTATATAAAATATTTGTTCGTGAGTCCCCTGATCTGCAAAGGACAACCGAACAAAAGAACAACGTAATTTTCGAAATTTTCAAAAATAGTTGAAAAATTTTCCAATTCATATAATTGAAATAAATTTTCAATTTTTTACCCTCGATTTGAACTTTTATTTTTAATAAAGGAAAAAGTAGCTTTACGTTTCATTTGCAGAAAAAGCACTCAACTATTTTAAAACAAATTCTTTATTGTCGAACTGTAAAAAAGTTTCCTTCACTTTCCAAGTGTTGAATAAAAAGAATACTATATTGTTGTAAATGGAGAAAATTTATCATATTATGATGCATAAAAAATGCTGTAAACATTTTATTTGATTTTTGTATACGTATATATATAAACATCGTATATTTATTTAGAAAAAAGAATGCAAAACTAAGATATCTTTATACGTTACAGATGAGCTTTCTTAAAAGTCAAAAATCTTTCTTAAAAGATGTTTTTCTTCTATTTTTTTATTATAAAAATTAAAAAAAAAGAGAATTAAATTAATATTTCGGAAAATTTCCTTCTATTATTAATATTTCACGAATATATAGAATGAAAAAAAAAAATTACAGAAACTAAAAAAATTTTATTATTCGTCTTTAAAAATAATTTTATGTGTACAAAAACCAACTGCTCAACAGATGCTGGTGTAGGTAAAAAGTCGCCACTTTATGGCACCATAAAATCGAAAATACCTTTTCAAATGCCTGCATCTATTATCAAGTTGAGGTTCGAAATAGGAGATACTTTTTTTTAGATACGGACAAATTTTCTCTTAAGGAAGATTGGAAATACCTTATTTTTTTTCTAAAAGACAAATAATTTAACTTGAAATCATGAACATATTTATTCGGTTCATATAGTTTGAAAATTGAGCCATAAGTGGGGATAATGGGAAAGAAAGAGAGAATAGGGAAATATCTCTCTTAGATTCATTGCCCCCACTCTTGAGGTTTTAGCCTTGCCGAACCACGGAACAATGGGAGGAAAGTATTTTTTTCTGAAAAATGTCCTTTTCTGATTTTAAATTTTCAAAGTTAATTTCTTTTTAATGATTTCTTTTTTTTTATTTAATTTAAAGTAAGGCGAAATTCAAAAAAAATATTTTCGACTTCATTAATTTTTCAAAATTGAATTTTTATCTCTGAGATTGTATATATACACGAATCTCGCTGTAGATAATTTAACATTATCAGTTTTGGTTTATTTCTGTTATCGAATTAGTAGGAAATTAACTTTCGTTGAGAAAAGTCGAGTCGTTAATCGCTCACGAACTCTATTATATAGTGTACATCTATCAAAAATAAAGTGACTTTAAAAGTATATAAATTAAAATTTGTATAAAAAAAAAAAAAAATTAGCTCTGAGGATTATGGGCGTTAAAAATAATACAATTTTCATCAAATAATTTTGATTTTGAAGCTTCTTTGTAAGTTATATTATTTATATTTTTTTCCTGATTTCATTGTTCATACTGAAAATTTTTTATTATTACCGAAAAAAATTTACTTGTTTGTAAACAGAAATAAATATTAATTTTTGGTAGATAATTTTTATAAAATATAATATTTAAATCACAAAAAATTAAAAGGCATTAAAATAAGTTACAACGCTTATTATTTTAATGCCTTTTAATTTTCTGTGATAGTATTAGTTCAATGTACAGTAAATATGTAAATTTCTCTTTTACTAAAATATAATTGACATCTGTAGTCTTCATTTCATCATCAGACCAAAATTTACATTTTCAATATAAAAATGAGATATATTTTTTATTTTTATAAAATTCTTTTGTAATTATTAAATATTTATATATAATTTCAATCGATAAGAAAATTTTTTTTTTGGAAATTTCAGAATCTTAAAAAATGTTAACCTAATCATATTTATAATAATGATTTTAACATTAAAAATTTATTGAAAAATTATAATTAAATATTGACAAATATTCTGTTCAGGAAGAGAAATGAAAACATCCTCACGTTGTGACGTGAAAGATGTCCTTCGAAGAAGGATACCAATTATTGCATGGCTTCCCAATTATTCCATCAATAAATTCCTTCAGGACAGTCTCGCAGGATTTACTGTTGGTCTGACAGTTATTCCTCAAGGAATCGCATACGCCATAGTTGCGGGTTTACCTGCTCAGGTGTGTATTTTCAATATCGATGAATATTTTGTTTTTTTTTTTCAATATTAATATTTGTCATTATGAGAATATTTAGCCATTTTATTTAGAAGAGAAATTAATTATAATTAACTTAATATTAAATTATTAAGTGTTATTAATTAAAACTTTTTCGGAGTTAAATTTTAGCTGACTTTTTGCCAGTAAATAAATAATGAAAATTAAATTAAATATATGAAACGTTTCAGTATGGACTGTATAGCAGTTTTATGGGGTGTTTCATTTATCTATTTTTTGGAAGCAGTAAGGATATTACTGTAGGACCAACTGCAATAATGGCTCTTCTTTCTTTTCCATACGTAAAGGCAATGGGACCGGATATTGCTGTATGTAACTAATTAATAAATTTTTAAAAGAATATCAAATCAAATGGGACGCATGATTATGTTCTAAAAATCATTATTCATAATTTAAATTTTATCGAATTTTATTTGTCCTAATTAGTTTTGAGCCGAATTTTTATTTGTTCGAATTAGTATTTTGCATAATTTTCATCAATCCGATTTTCTATATTGCAGAATTTTTATATAACCGAAAATTCACTCCATAGAATTTTTATTTCTTCGAATTTTTATTTGTCAGAATTTTTATTTGCTCGAATTTTCATTTAACATAATAGGCATTTTAAAGAATTTTTATTGGGTAGAATTTCATTGAATAGAATTTTCATTCAGATGAATTTTCATTTGTTCGAATTATTATTTGATATAATTTCCATATAATCGATTTTTCATACTACAGAATTTTTACTTAACCGAAAAATCATTTAATAAAATTTCTAATTGATAGAATTTTCATTTGTCCGAATTTTTAAATGTCCGAACAAACAATCGACAGAAAGATTTCGGCGCAATTTTTAAAATAAACCAATCAAAAATTATCCATAAAATTGTGATTGGTTGATTTTCAAAATTGCGCCGAAATCTTTCTGTCGATTGTTTGTTCGGCCATTTAAAAATTCGGACAAATGAAAATTCTATCAATTAGAAATTCTATTAAATGATTTTTCGATTAAGTAAAAATTCTGTAGTATGAAAAATCGATTATATGGAAATTATATCAAATAATAATTCGAACAAATGAAAATTCATCTGAATGAAAATTCTATTCAATGAAATTCTACCCAATAAAAATTCTTTAAAATGCCTATTATGTTAAATGAAAATTCGAGCAAATAAAAATTCTGACAAATAAAAATTCGAAGAAATAAAAATTCTGTGGAGTGAATTTTCGGTTATATAAAAATTCTGCAATATAGAAAATCGGATTGATGAAAATTATGCAAAATACTAATTCGAACAAATAAAAATTCGGCTCAAAACTAATTAGGACAAATAAAATTCGATAAAATTTAAATTATGACTAATGATTTTTAGAACATAATCATGCGTCCCAAATCAATAATAATTTTTCAATTCCAAACTATGGATTTTATCCAAAAATTATATCTTTCACAAAAAGTTATAAGGTATTAAAATAAACTGCAACGCTTATTATTTTAATCCAATTTTGCTTATTTTAATACCAAAATGGATTAAAATAAGCAAAATTGGATTAAAATAATAAGTGTTGCAGCTTATTTTAATGCATTTTAATTTTCTGTGAAAAATTTTTTTTTTTGGTTAATAAAAAATAGTAAAATAAAAAATGTTGATATTCAAAAATTATTTATATGTTTCTTAGGTTCTTCTATGTTTTTTAACTGGTTGTGTAATAACACTAATGGGTATTTTTCATTTGGGATTTCTTGTCGATTTCATTAGTATGCCAGTAATTTGTGGATTTACAAATGCAGCAGCAGTAATAATTGGTTTCTCACAAGTTGGCACACTTTTTGGTCTAAGTGGAAGAAGTGATTCCGTCTACGATGCTATGATGAAATTAATAAATAATTTTTTAGAAATAAAATTGTGGGATACAATTTTAGGAGTCTTGTGTATTATAGCGCTATTTTGTCTAAAGGTAAACCTTTTTTTTTATTTGCCTCTTAAAATTAAAAGATGAAAGAAATTTATCAAAAAATGATAAGAATTAATTAATAGGGAGATAGGAAAAAAGTTCATTTTTTCGGACAGTGCATTCTTTTTTTTTTGTAAATCATTCTAACTCAGCAGTAATTAATGATTACTGTCAGCATAAAAAAAAAAAATTGCTGTTTCATTGTGACAAAAGAAAAATATGTTTGCAATTTAATTGATCAAATCGATCGTGAATTTGATTTAGCAGATAAAATCATTGTTGTATAATTAGTTATTAAATTAAAATTTATTTTAATTATTATTAATTAATTATTAATTAAAATTTATTAAATTAAAATAATATTGTTTTTTTTTTTAAGAATTTACCGGGAAAAAAATTTGGCTCACCATTTGAAAAGACATTGTGGCTTTTAAGTTTGAGTCGAAATGCCATAGTTGTGATAACAGGGACAATTTTAGCTTATTCATTTTCATTGAGCGATCAACCGATACCATTTAAAATAACTGGAAATATAACAGAGGGCCTGCCACCATTTTCATCACCACCATTTTCAACAATTTACAATAATAAAACCTATTCATTTTTGGATATGACAACTAAACTTGGCAGTAGTATTGCTTCAGTGCCATTTATTGCAATTTTGGAAAGTATTGCCATTGCAAAAGCGTTTGGTAAGATTAATTTTTGTAAAAAGAATTTTTGGGAAAATTATTTCGAAATTTTGAATTTTTTTTTTTTTTTTTTTGCAGCTAAAGGCAGATCTTTGGATGCAACACAAGAAATGATTGCACTGGGTCTTTGTAATATTATGGGTAGTTTTGTAAAATCGATGCCTGTAACTGGAAGTTTTACGAGGACAGCTGTTAATTTTACCTCAGGTGTAAAGACACCTATGGGTGGAATAGTCACTGGATGTGTGGTTCTTCTTGCTTGTGGTTTATTAACGTCAGCTTTTAAATTCATACCAAAAGCCACATTAGCTGCAATTATAATTGTCGCTATGTACAATATGTTGGAATTTAACATATTCTCCGTTCTATGGAAGACAAAGAGTAAAAAAAAAAATATTTTGATACTAAAATCTATATAAAAAATTCCCAATCAATCACAATCAAACCAGAAAGAGAATTTTCATAAAAAATTAATTTTTCTTTTCTCACAGAGATAGACATAATTCCATTGACGGTCACATTGGTGTGCTCTTTGATATTTGGTCCTGAATATGGAATGCTGGCTGGAATCACGATAAATTTAATGTTACTGCTTTATTTTACCGCAAGGCCAGGATTAATTATTGAGGAGAGAACAGTTGACGACGGTTTAATCATTCTTTTTGTATCGCCAAAGCAATCATTGAGCTTTCCAGCTGCTGAATATTTGAGAGAGCAAGTCATGTCTTGGTGAGTTAATTTTAGTTCGTTTGGATATTTTTTTTTTTTCTTTTTAAATTGTCTCCTTCTTTTAATAAAAATTTCAAAACAATTTTTTTTTTTCGGTTAACATTATTTTTATCGTAAGAAAAAGAGAGATTGAATATAAATAAATTTTTTTTAGGTGTGATGGAAGACAAGAAACAATTCCTGTTGTTTTGGATGGTAGAAATGTAACTCGTATTGATACGACAGTAGCAAAAAATTTAACATTATTAAATATGGATTTAGAAGCGAGGAGGCAAAAACTTATTTTATGGAAATGGTGCGATGAGGCGAAAAAAACATTGACATGCTACGATTCAGAAACAGCCAGCCTCTTTAGGTCCTGTACTCTATCACAAATATTTTCAGGTAAAATGACTAAATTTTAACTCTCATAAAAATCCCCCCGATAATAATGGGAATATAAAAGTAGGTTTTGAACTTTTAGTTTTGAACCCTTACATTTTTATTACTACATTGATTTACGTTTTTATAACTTTTCATATCCGAACCCAAAAAAAGGCCCACTAGAAAAAATTTTTAGTCCTTTATTAGTTTTACAATATTTATCTATTTTGAAAAATGGAAAAACCCTAAATGGAAAAAACCTAAAGTCAATAAAAAAAAAGGATTATAATAATTATAATCATGTTTAAAAGTCATGCAAACAAATGATTTTTGTTTTGTTTTCAGAAGACAACAACACGATTCTTCCTGATAGAGTTGACGTTATAATATAATAATAATTGAAAATTATTTTCTCAATTGCATGTAAATATTATTCGTTAAAAGATATTTTTATTTGTTAAAATATCGCTGTTTTCTTGTATTATATATAAAATATCATTAAATATTTTTTTAAATATATTTATTAAATTTTTACAAAAATATGAGAATTATTAATTTTGAAGCTTTTTTATTTTTTATCATTTATAATTAAATTATAATTAATTGAAGGAAAAGAAAAATAGAATTTTCACCGATTTGGCAAATCTGTTTTATTAATAGTTGATAAAACAGATATATGTTTAAATTAGTAATTTTTTTTTTGAGTAAAGTAGATGTTTGAATTTCAGTAGAGAATGCTACTAAATTCCAAACGTTTTAATATCAAATGTAGGGAAAATATTTTTTCAGTAAAAATTTTAAATAAATATTTGACCTAAAAAAAAAAATTGAGGACATTTTTTTTTTTTTCTTTGATTTTTTGAAGATATATTCAATAAATGCAGGTTCAATAGGAGATAAGTCTGAGGAATGAAGTTGCATTCACACAGGGGGTTGATCGATCATCCCCTACAGCGTGTGCGCATCGCAGATGGCGACCGTCGCGACTCTCTCGACTCCCTTTGATAATATGTATAAGAATTGTGAGCAGCAATATATGGAATACAGAAAGCGGTTTGCGTCCGTATCAAAAAGTTCAATTTTTCCGCGAATGCGGTCATAAAATTATCATTAAAGTTCATTCATTAATTTTTTTATAATTCCCAGGTATTATTTGTAAAAAAAAGAAAAATGGAGGAAATCATTTGATTTCCTCGATAATGCGGTCGAGTGATATAACATGAAAATTTTTTCATTTACGGCTCAATCACGATAAAATAAATTCAAACGAGGCAAATGAATGAATTCCAATTGGACAATATGAAGCAATGCTGTCCTACTGACATCGGTGAAAAAAATACCGGTGTACTATCCCAAATTTGGGATCCACTCATCCCTCAAATTTTCCTAATTGTGAGTATATATTTATTATTTTTTTTTTTTATTTAGATATTCTTATATTAAAAAAAATTAGTACAATTTATCGTCTGTTGATATTTATTATTTTTATTCTCATGAAATAATTTTTTATTTCGTTATAATTATTTTAATTTATTTATTTATTGAGATTTTGTATTGAATCTTTTTTTTCACAAATCAAATGAATAATAGAATTATTTTTTTTGTTTTTATTTTGTTTGTCATAAATAAAATTATTTCGATAAGACAAAATTGAAATATATATTTTTTTCTAGCTATGAAATAATAATGGAGAAAGTCTCATATGTAATAAAAAATGGGTTATAAAAGTTATTCGAGCAAAAGTGGATTAAAAACATTCGGAGCAAAAATGAACTAAATTTTTTTTTCAATTTCATTATTTTGTTAACATTTTTTTTTTTCTCCAAAACAAACAAATAATTTAATATTGTTGACTTAATTTTCCTCTCAAAGTATTTTAATTACTTTTTCTCCCTTATTTATTATAATAGCTCATTTTTACAGTAAGTCTCTCATTTTAAAATGTCAAGGGCGGGATAATTTCAATTGTTAAACAAAATGATATGTTTTACTTTTTACCAAAGTTTTTGTTTAAAAAAAAAAAAATTTTCAGAAAAATATAAATTAATATACAATATATAAAACAAAGAATGAAAAAAAAATTATTGTAATCAGTTATATTTGACTATTATCAAATAAATATTTATTTGAATGGAATAATTTTTATTTGAATTAAATAAACTGTATTTGAACCAATAATTTCTGTATTTGAAATAAATATTATTTGACTCAAATAATAATTATTTGATACAAATAAATATTTACTTGATACAAATAAATATTTATTTGATAATAGTCAAGTGACTTATTTGAATAAAATAAATTTTGTTTCTTTCTAATTATGCTGATTCAAAAGTATTTGTTCTATTCAATCATAAATAATTAAAAAAAAATTCTTATAGTTTGTATTTAAATTTAATGTATTTATGTTTCATAAGAGATACAAGGGCAAATAGAGAAAAAAGTAGCTTATTATCTGATTTCATCTATTTTACATTTTAAATTATATTAAAATCAAAAGAATTAATTTAATATTTATTGTAGCTTTAGTTACTCCATCAAATTTTATTGGATTCACTTTTAATGAAATTGGGGTTATTAACAGTGCATGAAATTTGTTTTCGAAAATTATCACGTTAATTAAAAATCGAATTTAGTCGATAAAATTAATTGCAATGAATAAGAATTAAATTACGTAATAATATTGAAATTTGATAAATATCGTAATAACTTTATCAATTTTTAAGTAAATCGTTGAAATTATTAAAAAAAAAAAATTTTTTTAGTCAATCCCTTTTTTTTCCTAAATAAATTGTATATGATTTGAAAGAAATAAAAATATTTTTATTTAATTTAAATAAAAATTATATTTCGTTTGAATAAAAAATTTCTTTTTGTGTACATCAATGACAAGTCGCGTCAACTATTTATTTATGGAAAAGAAGCCATTTTTTCATGTGTACAGTGTACTTGGAAATGTCATAAATTATTAATCCACAAGTTTCTAGACTTAAAAAAAAAATTCCAATTCTGACTGAACAATTTTTGACTCTTTCTATATATTATTTTAATTTTAATACAATTTTTTTTTAAATATCTAAAAAAGAAATTTTTTTTAAAATTGTAATTATAGGAGAAATTTTTGCATATAAGAGTGATATTAATTATCATCTCAAAATATTCAAGTGTGTGCGATGCTGCAAGAGGGGAGTTCATTGAACTCAAAGAGAATTTGTAAAATTTATAAATTTAACAGAGTTGGAATATTTTAATCAATATATTGTGGTTTCAAAAGTTTTACTTTTTAATTATATATATAATATGGAGAACACTATTATCTTGAACGTTAATTTATTAAATATGCAATATTTGATAAAAATTATTATATGAGTTTTAAATTTCATTATATACGTCAAGCAGAAAGAAAGATAAAAATTTAATATTAAATGTTATGGATTTTATTAAATAATATGACATATATGAAGATACAAGATATTATCATGAAATGTACTTTGTAAATTATGTAGATTTGAAAACCGTAGATTATAGGATACAGTATTTGATAATAAAGTGAACATCTATTAGTCATAGTCAAATGAGTTATTCAATATTTATCAATTTAAATCGAAAATTGCACGTATATCGCGATTAATAAACTGAATTTATTACCTTTTAATATTAAATTAACAGATTATTAATCAATTTGACATGAATTTTTAATTTAATATAAATATAACTATTATTTTATATTTATTATATAGAATATTATATATTCTATTTTATTTTTTTTTCTATAATATATTAAATATATTATATTTTATAAAATCCAAGTAAACTATATATGATAATTTAATAGAACGAACCGAGGGGAGAATCCAATTTTATTGTCACTTAACTAAATTAAAATTTACAGTTTTCTGTAATTTACCCTGGTATTATAATATTGAAATTTGAAAAGAAAACGAATTATATCACAGATGGAAAAAAATGTAATAAAAAACACTGAAATAAATTGGAAAATATTTTCAATATTGGTAAATATAATATAATGTCCGGACCGCTATTATAATACCATTATAATAATATATCAACAAATTGTATTTGATATTTGTATGCTTTCAAAAAAAATTTTTTTTTATTTCATTTTAGAAATAAAGAAAAATAAAAAAAAATAAAAATGGAAAATAATTCTTTCAAAAAATTGAAAATGATTTTCCATCATAAAAAAAAACATAAACTTTAAATCATTTTCTCTTATCGATGCGCGAAAAGTTTTATTTTCAATTAACATAAGAAAATTTGTTTATGTAACCTACAGTTGACACACAAATATTTAAACTATAGAATTATAAAAACAGTGTTGAAAAATGAAGGGAGAAAAATAATATGCAAACTCGCAAAGTACGACGCGTGTTAGCAGTAATTGAATGCCCATTGTATTAGATAAAAGTTTCATTAGTCATTTTCTTATCTTACAAAATATAGTGTACTTGTCATAGACACTTTGTGAAAAACTGCATTTCATGAAAATGTGCCTATAGACGTTTCATTTGCAGCCACATTGTCCAAATTTGAAACTCAAGATCAAAGAATATTTTATTTGAGGTAATCAAATTTATTTTCAAATGTATTTTCAAATGTATTTTTTTTTTTAATTATTTATTTTTACTAAATTTGATTTTTATTAAAATAATTTTTTAATTAATATTTTATTATTTAAAAAAAATAATATTTTAATTAATATTTTATTATTTAAAAAAATTATTTTCAAAAATTAATACGTATATTTTGTTTTGCATTCTACATTTCCATTAAAGGATTTAAAAAGTAGAAAAAAAATAATAATGACTCTGTTTTTAGTTCAGAGGGTGAATTTTCTTTCATGGAAATTATCTATTTAAAAATCTATTTATATAAGTCATTGTAATATATGTGTATACAAAAAAATAGGGCTAATTAAAAAAATTCATTTTTCAATAAATTTTACGTTATTCCTTAAATTTATTTTTATTTATATTTTAAGTGACATGCATTTATTACTATTTAACGATTAAATTAATATATAGGAGCCTACTTCATAAATGAATGGAATATGCACTCGCCACTGTGAATTTGAATCGAATAGTGTTTTAATTGGATGAACTGATATTAATGGAGAACTACCTTCCATGCAAAATGATAACTTAATCTAATCTTATCTTACAACTGCAATAAATTTTATGTCGAAGCCGTAGATTTTGCGTTGATCCCGCAATTTTTAGAATTCAATTTCAAATTTACTTTATGTAAATGAAATAAATATTATAAATGACAAAATTAAATAAAATTTTCAGAATTATTATTGAATAATTAGAAATACAATAAAAATTACAATAAAAAAAAAAAAATAATAAAAAGCAGAAAATTACAATTTTGAATAAAATAAACTTTATTTCAATTTAAATGTCTTGCCGGAGGTGGAAAATTTACTATGTGAAACTTATTAAAATAATAATCTGGACAGAAGTTATTTTAATAAATGTTTTATTCAAATTAATGTGTCTTGCACGTAAAAATAATTTGTACCGACCAGGAGTTTACAAGAACTCCTCTGAAGGGGGTAGATTAAGAGTAGGATTATTTTATTTAGAATACGACTATTATATACATATACATATATAAGAAAAAGACATCTTTACATGAGTTGAATTCAAGAGGAAAACTTGTGAGAGAAAATGTGCATGGGTTATAAACTGCCCCGCAGGATAGTTTCAGAAAAAAAAAAAAAAAAAAATGTCAGGGGAAAAAGGCAAAAAAAAAGAGAGAAAAAGAAAGTATGAACTTAATTTTAGATAAACCCCAATTTTATTATATAACAATTTTTTTAATTCAAAAAAAAACTAAAATTTTTAATAAATATTAAAATATTTTTTTAAAGAATTTTTTTTTAAAAGAAACACGTGTAAAAATCATAATGTTGTAGAAATTTTTAGACAAAATTTAATTTGCCAAAAATCAAAATTTCATATAGAATCTTAATTTTTGAATTTAGAATCAAAATATAAAGGTATACGTGTTATATTATACAATATATATATATACTTTTCGCATTAAAAGTTGAAACGTTGAAACTTTATGGTTGAAAGTTGAAAGTAACAGTGGGAAAATTGAACAACTTTTATATACAATTTTTTAATACTTTCACTTTGAAACCAGTTATTTTACTGACAAACTTTCGTTGGGCTTTTTTTTTTTGTTTTTTAGAAAGAAAAAAAAATAAAATAAAATCTAACTTCAATGAAAAAGAAAAATAAATCTTAAACTTACTATGAAAAAAAAACTAAATTAGGCGAAAAATTATATATTTTAATAATATTAGAATTTTTTTTTTAAATTATTAAATATTAAAATTACAATTTTCAGATGGATCTTTTAACATTGGACTTGGGATTAATTTAGGTGAGTAAATAAATAATTATTATTTTTTATTAAATAATAATAATAATAATAATAAATGAATTATTGAATAAAATTGCTTTCAGAAATGGGTTCTCGAAAATCCGGAAGTGGAGGAGGACGTGGCAATGCAGGAATTCTCAAGGATCGGGCAAATATGTCCTTTATGCTTGTGGTCATGTTTTTTGCTGTCTTCGGACTTATAGTTTTCACAGAAATATTTCTCATTGACGAAAGACATGGGACCAATGCGGCAAATAGTGGAGCAATTGCACACCGAAATGGCCATCGATTAGCAGCGGCACCAGATCGTCCAGATTACGAAGAAGTTGGAGTGAGTTTTTCAAAAAAAAAAAAAAAAAAAAATTTTTCAATTATTAATTTAAATTAAAATTTTTTATTTAATTCTCTATTTTTTCTAGTAATTTAAATTAAAAATTTAAATTTAAATTTAAATTAATTTTAATTTAAATAAAAAATTTTATTATAAAAAATCGATATGACTGTTTGAAAAAAAAAAAATGACAAAGAAATAAAAGCGCTGTATGAAAACACGAGAAAATATTTCTCATCTAATTTTTTAGATCCTGAGTAATACCGTTTCATATGTCGAGAGTAAATGTCAACTTTTTTTTTCTCCCCTTGTACAAATTTTTATTTTGTATATATGAGTACAATATATATATATATATATACGTGCGAAGAGAGGACAAATTTGAGGAATGAATTCGCACGGAAATCCTCTTCAGCGTGTCTGCATTTTATGTTTGTGTTTACTATTTCGTGATATTCTGGCAAAAAAAAAAAAAAAATGGATCTCGATTCGAATTTATCTCGCGTGACAGCTACGCTACCAATTACGCGTGTCTCATTCCAACATGACAAATAATAAATTTTAAACTACTGTCGATAGAATTTTTAATAATTTATATTTTCTATCAATATGTTTTTTTTAACATTTAATGTAATTAACAAATTATTATTATTATTATTATTATTATTATTATTATTATTATTATTATTATTATTATCAATTATTAATTATTATTAAGGGGAGTCACAATTTTTATTTTGACCCACTTAAATTTAAATTATTAAACGAGGTTTTTTTTTTCTTGCATCATTTGGGTCCTAAAAACATATAAGGTAGTCAAAAAAAGAAAATTTTATTTTTTGACCATTTTAGAATTTTTATTTTTTAAAAAAATTAATATTTTTGAAAATCCATGCGAGAGATTCTAGAGAATTATTAAAAAAATGTGGAAAAAATTTAACGATAAAAAATACTTAAAATCGTGATAGAAGATACATTTTAATAAAAGAGTGCAATGATGTTTTAACTTATATTTTTCTTTCTTTTTTTAAAAAAATTAAAATTTTTGAAAATCCATGCGAGAGATTCTTAAAAATCATTGAAAAAAAGCGTGGAAAAAAATTAGCGATGAAAAATAGTCAAAAAATTGAGAAAGAAGATAGATATATTTAAAATATTAATTTTTTTTAAGAAATTAATTTCTAAAATGGTCAAAAATTAAAATTTTATTTTTTTGACCATCATGTATGTTTTTAGGACCAAAATGATGCAAGAAAAAAAAATATCTTTCTACGATCATGAAAATGTAAAGGATTCAAAATGAAGGCTGTGTGATTCCCCTTAATTATTAATAAAATAATAGAATAAAAATAGTAGACGAAAATCCAATGAGTTAATATAGTCAAGTAGGAGGAGATGAATCAAGTTTATCTCCCAATTGTATATATAGACTGCTCGTATATATATAATCGAAGCTTAATGCACGTCCTTTGATACTTTCTCGAAAACTAAATTGACATTTTCTTGCCTGCAGGCCGAAGATTATAAGGGTAGCTTCGATGATCACGTTGGCTTGTTAGTCCACAAGATTTCACCAGATCCACGAGCTTTGCCCAGCTTACCCCCCAGCTTAGAAGCTCGTCTCCCTCAGCTCGATCAAAAGCTTCGAGTCACGCATGCTGAATGGCTTGCAGTTACTAACACCAGGTTTGTGTAAAAAAAAAATTTTCATTTTACAATAAATCAAATATAATCTAAACCAGATAAATTTTTCTTATTTTTTACAGATTTAAATTTTTCATCTATTCGGCCTATTTTGACGACAGAATAGTGGGTGGATCGGCAAATCGAAAAAGTCCAGGATTAATTCGTGTAATTGGTGCAACAAAAACAAAAAGTCCTGAACGAGTTTGGTGTCGTCTTTGGTATCAAGATCAAAATGCAAATCTCACTTCTTCCATCACAGTACCTGCCAAAGTGAAGGTAAAAAAAAAAAAAAATTTTAATTTCTTCGAAAACTTATAAGTTGAAAATTCAAAATGAAAAATAATTTTCAGGTGATTAGAGAAAATTGGAATTTGAAATATAGTGCTTGCTTTGTAATATGTCCAATTCCAAAAGATTCTCCAACGAATGAAAAAATACCAGAGACAGTCAGTATTGTTGCCAAACTTCGAGCATCTCCTTCAAATCGTATTTTAGTGCAAAATCGACCATTCGCAAGATCTGTGAATAAAAATAATCTTGCTATTTGCGTCAAGCCATTACACTACGATTATAATAGGGCAAGTATTGCAAAATAATATTTTTTTCCCCAAACGAAAAAAATACAAATTTTACTAAATAAATTTTAGTCAGATAAATTATATAAATATAAAATTTAAAAGAGATTTTATAAAAAAAAAAAATGGATTGCAATTAATATTTTTGTTTGAAAAAAATATATATAAAAGTCTGAGGGTTTTTATATACCACGCGTTCTTTAATTATGAAAAGCTTTTAAAATTCTACAATTAAGAGAGATTCTTTTTTTTCCACTCCTTCATCAAGCACTCTCGCGCACACGAGACAGAATATAATAATAAAAAAAAGGGACATTAAATCTGTGCAGGTTTTGCAATTAGTGGAGTTTATTGAACTGTACAGACTCTTAGGTGCCACTCATGTCACTCTTTACAATGATACGGTTGGTCCTGATGCTGGCTGTGTATTGAGATATTACGAGCGAAAGGGTTACGTTACACTTCTCCCTTGGCATCATCTCGATATGATTTCACAGAGGGAAATTCGTACCGAAGGATTATTTGCTGCATTAAATGACTGCCTATATCGATCGATGTATAATTTTGAATATGTCGCATTGGTGGATTTGGATGAATTCATAATTCCCCGACATGATAATACAATAATTGAGCTTATACGGTTTGTCATTGATTTTCTATAAACATAATTTGTATAATCCATTCAAATAATTTTATTTTACTATTATTTTTCTAAAAAAAAATTTTTTTTTTAGATGGATGGGTACACGAATCAGCACAAAATCAACAGGAGCATTTTCATTTCAAAATGCATTTTTTTATCTTCAATGGGCCGATGATCCGTATATTGGAACAAGTCGAAATCCCACTGAGAAAAATCTCATAACATTGAGAAAAACGAGACGTCGATCAAAACTTCATCCACATAAGCAACGATCGAAATATGTTTGTAAACCAAAAGAAGTTGTTGAAGCGGGAAATCATTTTGTCTGGGAATTTATACCAGGTCATGGTACAGTGAATGTCCCACCGGATGCTGCAATTTTGCAACATTATCGAGTTTGTGAATTTGGTGGCGATGATTGTGTTAAAACACAATCAGTTGTTGATAAAACGGCCTATAAATATATTGAGAAATTAACAAAAAATGTACATAGAACGTTTAAAGAATTAAGTAGCGAATGTTCAATACCAGAACTTAAAATAACATTAAATATTTCAAAAAAAAATAATTCTAATATTTTCATGAAAAAATCTAATTTCAATTACAATAGTAAAAATATGAACAACAATTATAATAATAATAATAATAGAAATAAAAAAAAGAATATTGTAGACGATGATGATGATAATGATAATAATAGAATAGAGAATGATAGAAAAATTCTTTTACAAAAATTAGCAAAAACAATTGATAAAGATCATTATAAAAATAATATTAATGATGATGATAAATTTTATAATAATATTTTAATTGTAATTATTATTGTCATCGCAGTTGTCATCAAATTAAAATGGATTTTGAATTATTTAAAATGGTGCTAATACAATTTTTTTTTTTTTTATCAATTAGGATTTTTAAATTTTATCACATTGATAGAAATTTTATTATTAAATATCCAATCCACATAAAAAATAATGTTTATATTTCATCAATTTTTTATAAATTTATTTCTAGTCTTTCCATATAAAAATACTCTATTAAAAACAACAAGAGTAAAATTTCGATGTAATTTTCCGAAAGAAATTTTTTGAAAATAACTCGTAAAACACAAAAAAAAAAAAAAAAAAATTGAGACTATTTTTATACAAAAAGCGGATTCTGGGACGAAATATTCAAGTTCCAAATAAAGCTGTTACACTTTTCACTGTGGTGCTTCTTTAAGATTTTTATAAGAAAAAAATAAAATAATTTCTCCCAGTTGTTTTTTTTTTTTGAGAATATTAAATATTCTGAGAGAGATTACTATACACATATATATGTATAGGGCCTATGGCCTAAAATTTGGTCTATATATGGTGCATTTTGTAAAAAAAAAGAATTTGTAAAATAATTATTATCTGTCAACATTATGCATATCCATAGGGTTTTTTTTAAGCGTAGTATATTCACAGAAAAAATTATATTCTTATTTTGAGAATAAATTTTTTTCAGTGTTTATGTGTAAATATATATATGTATAAATTTAGACTTAACAAAACTGTAATTTAATTAGTTTTTAAGAAAATTTAGATCCGCTTTAAAAATTGTGAAAAACTTTTTAAAAATACTATAATTGTATGTAAATTGTAGAATAATTTAATGCCTAAAAAGCAATCACATTTTTCTAATTGGTCAACTAAAAAAAAAATTCATGTCATATTTATTCGCTAATTTTTTTGAAAGATTATTTAAAACTTTAAATATTTTCTATTTATTTATCATTATTATTTATTTAGAATTATGTATTATAATTTTTTAATATTATTTGCATATTTGTGATATTAATTTTTATTTTGCAGTATTATTATAGATATTATTAGTTTTTATAATAATTATGTTTTGTCTTTAGTTATTTTTAGCAAATAAAATGGCATAAAAATTGTATACAATCATTTTTAAAAATATTAATCTATTTAATGTATATATCTATATATATATATTATAAATAGTGCACAATTATTATTTTTACAAGTGAACAATTTTAATATATATATGATTATTGTTATTGTATATAAACTTTTTGAATAAAAAATAATTTCCAATAATTATTTGATATTGTTATCTATAATTAAATTAAATTTTTTTTTTATTTTAATAGTGTACAATTTTTAGTACACGAATAATATTGATTTTTAAAAGTCTTCATCAGAATGAGCAATTTTGCTGACAGCACGTTTTTCTTGATTTGGTTTTACATCAAATTCAGTCATTCCCGTTGGATGAACAGAATTTAAAAGCATATCGTCATCGTCATCGTCATCATCTTCATCGTCTAAATCACCATCAATCAATAAATCACTATCGCTGTCTAAAGAATCTCCACTTTCGTTTGCTTCATGAACAACTCCACGTTGTCTTCCTGACATACTTCCATAAATTCTACGTTGTGGAATTCGCATTTTTGAAGCTCTTCCAGTTTCTAAAATTGATTTCTCAATTAATATTTATAATTAAATAATAAATAAATAAATTCCAAATTCATTAATTCAAAATAAATTAAATTAATTAATATAATTAATTTTTTTTTTTTTTATTGAAAATTCGAAAATTATTTTCTACCTCGCGCAGTATTTTCAGGAACACGTTTTTCCACTTCTCCAAGTGCCAATGGATCCTGAAGATTATTATTAGTGAAAATAGAATCATTTCCTTCGAGAAGAGTTTCAAAACTCACATCCTCAGCTCTCAATTGTTCCAATTGTTTTTTAGTTGCTGCTTGTCTATTTAAATAATAATTTTCAATTCAGTTAATCATAAAATAATATAATATTTAATATTATAAATAAAATTAAAAATATATATACATAAAAATAAAATTATTAAATTAATTGTAAAAATTAATTATAAAATTAATAATTAAAATTTTAATTTTAAAAAAATTATCATAACAATTACCTTCTTTCGAATCTTTCTTGTTCTACTTTTGTTGTATCTTCCTGAAGATGCTCTAAGTACGCCAGATAACGAAATTTTTGAAGATAATCTTCATAAAGATTTTTTAATTCAACTTCAAGTCTTTCAAATTCTTCCATAAATGCTGGTCTAACTTTTTTTAAAGTCTGTAATCTCTTTTGATTCCTATCGAGTTCAGTTCGTCTTCTTTCAATTTTAGCATCTAAATTTTGTTCCGTTTCCTAAAAGTTGAATTATATAATTACAATTAATTAATTTTTTTTTTAATATAAATTAAATAATTTTTTTAATTTGAAAACATGTCTGAAAATCAAATTTAACCTGAAATAAATTTTCTTATATAATTTATTAAAATTAAAATTAATTTATTTAAATAAATTAATTTAAATAAATAAATTAATTGATTTTAATAACATTACCGCCTTTTGCATTTTTAAATTTTTAAATATAATATGCAGCGCCACCTGCCGACCGTAAACGGAACTAAGTTGTCAGTTGAATATTCCAACTTAACAAACCGTTATTGTTAAACAAAGTGACACACTGCGACCGGATGTGAGAATAAATAATTCGCTTTTTTCATACCTTAACATTATTTATTTGTTTTCTTGTGTCGTCAATTTCTCTTTTGGCATTGTCAATTGTTTCCTTAAGCGCCATCTCAATTTCAGAAGTATCAAATTGCCGGGAAGCCTTCGAATTACGAATTTCACGAAGTTCAGCTTCCCGCCCGAGGAGATCGAACAGTGTTGCGCCGTTTATTGTGAGTTCACTTGCCAATTGTCTTGTACTTTTTAATTCATTTATTTTATCCGAAATGTCGAATTTCAAGTCGTGAAGTGTTTCTGTGTGTGAAGAATTTTCAGAGCTTTTCAGTTGAGCTTCGTACAGTAGTGTAGTGACCTTTAGAAGCTCTTGCACAGCGTAGCCATCAGCTTGATAAAGTTTCTTTGTATTCAGTTTTATATTTGCTGTGATTGCCTATAAATAATTTATTTTTTCACAACTTTTTCGAAGTATAACATTCTAAGTGATAATATTTAATAGTAAATCGGGTTATTTTGTGAATATGGTGGAAAAATATTGAGGTTATGTATGTAAAATGTCAAGATTTGCAAGTCGGGATCGTCATCGGGATGTGACATTTTTTTTCATGATTGTATCGTGTTTAATGGCGTGATTCAAGACAAAAGTGCTGTACAAAGATAGAAAATATTCCAATAGTGAAAATAATTCCATTATATACCATAAATTCTGCTACTTGACGAATTAAAGTCACACGATCTTGTTCGGTTGCGTAGTCACCTGAGATGCTTGAGTCTGGATCGAATCTTTTCACCAACCAAACTAGTATTTCTGCAACCAGAGGAAAATTTGGAGATCGAAAATTGGATAAGGACACTAACCTAGGATATCCAAGTACCCTCAGCATCTCCGTGAAGTCTACAAAAAAAGGGGGTGAGTAAAAAATCGCTTATTTCTGATTTTTAGAAAATTATCAAATGTGTACTTACTTCGTAAATCACGAAATGACATTTTGTTGTTATAAATTAGTTAAAAATTATTATATTAACTTAAGAAAAACAAAATATTTGATTTCCACTTGCTTACACCTTTTAGGATTTATTGTGAATTGTTGTGAATCTAGCGTTGCTATAGAAATAAGGTGCGCAAGGTAAACACGTGGTCGCGTGTGACGCATTTTTATTTTCAGCAAAGGTTATGATAAATTATTTTTTTCAAATAAGTAATTTGATAAAATGTTTTTTTTTTTTGGTTGATTTTTTTAAATCAAGAGTACTACAAAAAATTTATTTTTTTGTGAATGCATTTTTTAAATTTAAAATAAATTCCTGAGTTTCCAATCTAACAAAAATCTTTTTAAGTTACATTCTGAATAAAATTTTTTTTAAATCTTTCATGTTTAGAATATTTTAAAACAAAAAAAAAAAATTTTCTTTCTCTTGAAATGGATTTAAAACTAAAAGAAAAATAAATTTTCATTTAAAAATCGACTGACTATCAATTTTAATTAATTAAAATTCGTATATTTAGATATAATTAACATTTATTTGTACATTATCATTTACAGTATAAATTTTTAATAATTAGAACAAATTAGAAATCTGTTGCTCGTCTGTTGTGAAGAGTTTGTGATTTTTCTCGTTTTACATATAATCTCTTTTGAGAGGCTGCAATTTGTTTTTTTCTATGGAACTCTTTTGTTTCTTCTGATGTTTCCTTGGGTTTTTCTAATGCTTTTCTAATTAAATTCCGTAGTTTAGAAAGAGCATCAACAATGTTAAGTTGTTGTGAACTTGTTAGCTCTGATTTAATGATTAGATAACCTTCCTTGTTTATGGAATTTTTACACTAAAAAAACCAAATTATTTTTAATTAATACTTTTTTAAAATTTTCTTCATTATAGATTTTACATAGAAAATTATTACCTGTTCTGATAATTTTTGTTTAATTTCTTCATCAAGCCACGTTGCTTCTTTTAAATGAAATCTTACATCAACTTTTGTGTTAACTTTATTAACATTTTGACCTCCTGGTCCACTGCTTCGACAATGGGTAATTTTTATTTTATCCATGGGTATATAACCACTAAATTTTTCTTTTGGATCTTCAGGGACCTAAAAATACGAATATTTTTAATTAAATTTAAAATTTTAATAAATAATAAATAATTCTGTAAATATAAATAAAGAGTATTTAGAGCTTTATGCTAGAAAGTGAGGTTATGTTATTCGTTAGATAAATTAAAATCCTATCGTATATTTTTAATATTAATTTCTAATTTTTAAAATTAATATTCAGATACTTACAAAATTGGGTGTATGTAATTGCATATTACTTGTTGGATATATATTTTCAAGAGAAAATGCACTTTTGAAAGAAGACAATCGTGCAATTATATTGCAATTGTTTTGGACAATTATCGCATTACTAAACATTTTTAAACATTGTCTCCTAAGGAGATTCATTTTATATATTTTTTTTAGTAATTTTTAATATAAAAATTTTAATAAAAATACTAAAATCAATCAAATATATTTTGGTACAATGTTTACAACGCGGCCATGACAGTTTTTTCGAGTTTCGACTCTCGATTCCTTCAAACGATTCTAGTTCTAAAATTTAAAATTACTGACACAAAATAATATTCAAAATAGTTAATGAAAAATTAAAGCATTTTTCAAAAAAATAATTAATTAAATTTTTAATTTAAAGGTAAATAATAACTTCAGTTTATTTAGTATATTTTAAATGTATTTATTTTTTTTAATATTGGTAGAAAGGAATAATTAATTTTGTTTTATCAGACATTCGATTTTATATTTTCATTGTGTGATTGAATAAAAATTAAAAATATACATTATATAGTTACTTACGAAAATATAACGTTTATCCATAAGTAAATAAACAGTCATTTATTAACAAAGCATTCATCCTTAAAAATTCAAAAAAAAAAAATCATTATTTTGATAGAAATGATGAAAATTGTCCATTTTTTTGTGCGAACTTTTAATCTTGCACACAGGCAAGATTAACATATAATAATTAGTTATAGATTCCATTATAAAATTGGAATTTGATTTATGTTACGCAATAAAATTCTGCATCGGATTATATAATATACATAATACTTTAATAAAGTATAAGTTTTCAAAAAATATAATAGGGAAGCAAGAATTAGTTTTTTTTTATTAATTATTTGATTTGACTTGAGCAGTCAAATGTAGTATTTTTCCCAAGCATTTTTATCTCTATTTTTTTACATATTTTAATTTATAGTGACAAGATGTTTTAAAAGTTTTCTTAACGGTTAAAATAACTTGAAGTCGTATATCAAATTTCTAGAGCCAATTAGAATATTTATAAAATAATTAAAATTTTTTTTTTTAAAATTAAAAGTAATTTAATTTAAATTTTATAAAAATTGTAAGAATTCTTTCCTATTATTATTTTTTACGACTTTTCAATTAACTATTTTTTTTTTTTTTTTTTTAATACTTTGTCATTCTGATTGGCACTATTTGTAGAAAATGATGATGTTCAAAATTTCTACAATATATATTTGTGATAAAAATACTTTTTTTTTTTTGTCCATGATTTGAGAAAATTTGTAAAAGGAAAATATTAAGCTAGGCTTAAAAGAAGTAGAATATATTTACAAATTTCGTATATTACGTGTTTATAGTTTTTCCTCGAAAAAACTTAAAATGGCATTTTCTCGATAAAAAATTAGAAGGGCCTTGATTATAAAAACAAGACTCATTAACGAGATTACGATTCTGCCTGCATTTACGTTTTCCTAAATTGGAAGACTAGATTAATATTTCTATATACTAACAGACTTGTATATATTTAGGTATCGACGAGTAATACTTGTATAACTTCTCGCTAATGCCCTGATTTTAATATATTTATAATAATTACCAATAAATCAATCTAAAAATATTAACTTTAACTGCTAGATTGTAAAATCTATAGACAATTTTTTTTTTATGTCTAATGGCAGTGTAATGCAATTTTTCGAAAAAAAAAAGGTTTTGCAATCATTTATTTAAAATCAATTCTTTATCATTTACGAGAATCGTATATTTATTCGTAAAGAGAATTTTTCTTATAGATATTACTATATGTATAACAAAAAAAAAACATGATATTAAAAGGTATAATTTAAATTGTTTATAATAATCCAAACAATAGCTTTTGTTAGATTATCAATAATTTAGCACCTTTGGAAATTGAAGCGAATAATTTTTGAAAAAGTGATTCTCGAATTTATACTCTACTTGAGTTATTTTTTTTTTCACTATAGGTAGCATTCTACAGTGATCTACAATGATCTCTTTTTTTGATTTTAAATCAAGATCAAAGTAATCTTAGTTTCCTCCTTTTTTTATATTTTTAATAATTAGCATTTTATGCTAATTATTCAACAACAAATCTTCAAGTGCCGTCTTTGACAAGTATGAACAAATTCAAAAAAAGGAACGCAATGGCCTTTTATGACTTTTACATTAAAAAAATTGGAATTTTTTTTTCAAACTCCATGATCAAATTCATGGTAACCTTCAGCTCCAGTAAAAACTACATCGACCCAAACACGCATTGCTTCTGAACTTGGTGCCATTAGATGATAAAGTCGCGTTGTTGTTTTGATGATAAAAGTCAGTGATGGTTGTGGTGATTTTACCGAATTCATATGATCCACGTAGACTTCTTCAATAGACTGAAAAAAAATGTTTTATAATTTATATTTATTTTATCATATGAAATTTTACTTTTATATTGTCTACTTACCTGAAAATAAATGACACCACGAGGTTTTTTAGAATTATTATCACTGTAATATGCTAGTGTTTTTCTTTTTCTATCGAAAACAAACCATCGTTTATTCCAATGATGAAATTTTTTACTCATTTTTGATAAATATCCACAACAATTTGTTGTATCAACAGAAACATCATGAATAAGTGGTAGTTGATGTCCTGCCGTTTCAATATGTAATCTCAAATCAAGGGATTCTGATTTTATGGGAAGATACCTTGTGAGCGGTCTCTGTAAAATAAAAGAAAATAAAAAATTTTTATTTTATTTAAAAAGTGAAAAATAATGTTTTTTTTAATAAAGTCAAAAAAGAATACTTTATTTTATTCGTGTTTGATGTTTAATTAAAATAAAATGAAAAAGAATAACAAAGGTATTATTTAACATCTAAGTAACTTTGTGTGTACTTTGAGACTAAAATATTCTGTTACAAAAGTTTGTGCGAGCTAGTTCATTAAGTTGTTGCTTAAGTACATATAGAAACAAATAAAATTTATAATGTACCTGTAATTTAGCTTTTTCTCGGTGTTTGATAGTTTGCGAATTTCCTAATGTATCCATTTCACTTGAGGTCTGTGATAAAGGACGACTTCCATTTCCATCTAGAATTCCAACACTCGTTGTACTGTAGCGTTCATTTTCCAATGATGTTCTTCTGTCATCCCTCATCTATAGAAAGAAATTATTTATGTCTTAGAATATTTAAAAAAATATTTAACTACATGTTAGTACAGCGCTGATAGTATTTTAATTTTTCTTTTTGCAGATTCTATCCCGAATGACGTACAAAAATTCACACAGACTTTTTAGAACTCGGTCTATTTTTACGGTTATTTTTCACATTTTCTGAATGGAAAATTTAACTTGAAAGTAGGGATCTCCGAGGGCTATTTAGTTTGAAATAATCTCCTTGATGCTGAAAATTTGTTATTAAGGTAAATATTTTAATTTATTATAAAAATTTTATTACAAAAATTTAGTTGTATTTTTTGACATGACAATATTTTACTCCGAGGTCTAGGACAGTCAGAAAAATGTCCTCTGTTCAAGAATTGTTATAATTAACTGGTCCACCACAATTCTTGGCATTTCGTTTTGAAAATTATTAATTTTAATTTAGATTATTATCATAAATAATTAATCAAATAATTATAATTTTAGTCAATTAAATGGTATTTGTTTTAAAAAAATTCACTTTCACTATAAGTAGAATTTTTTTTTAATTGTAAACTAAATTCTAGATCTGAAAAAGTTATTTTTTTTTCCTCTAGAGAGAACGTTTTTTTGAAATAAAATGCAGATACTAAAATTGGATTGGTATATAAGTTTCTTGAATTTTAAAATTAACTTTATTGTTTTTAGTATTTCATCTTATTCATCTTCGCGGACGAATTGTTTTTCTTGGTGACTATTCACATAACAAAAATTCTTATGCGCATTGCCAGATAATTTTTGTATGAATGTAAGGTTCATTCTTCAACCTTGAAAATTGTTACATCTGACTGAAAGTATTATCTTTTTTGACGAGTTAAAATTGAATAATATATTCTTTTTATAAGTTTCCCAAAGTCCAGAAATATATAAGTCAACATACAATCGTATATATAATAAAATGTTCTGTGCATTCAAAGAATAACGATCCATTAAATTCATGAATGTTTTATCAAAAACCCACACACACGGAATTCAGTGTCAAATTTAATTTTTTATTTAGCCCTGAACATCGTATTTTAAATCTTTTGGAGAATTTATTGTCCAAATCCACAGTATCTGGTATTAATTTATTTTAGATTAATCCTTTAAAGGCTTTAACGGTGTCAATTGTATTTACATATAAAGAGCTTATTAACGCGATTCAAAGAAAATAAAATAGTTCATTAAGAAAGGTGAAATTCATTAAATAGGAAGATCATAATTATAATTAACGGAGTTTAAAAAAGTTAAGTATTTTAAGTTCGTTGACATATAGAGTTACGGTTTTTATTAGGATTAATAAAAAAGATTATTTAACCAAGAGAAGAAAAGATGTAGGTGGCGGAAATGGGTTCATATGCTTATGAATTGAGCCTTACTTCTGAAAATCAGTTTTAAATTCAAAATAAATCCTAGTAATACTTGTACAATAGATACTTCCAGGTATATTCAAATTAATGATTATGTAGACAATGAGGCAGATGTGACAATTGACCAGTTTTATTTAGTCTGTACCAGATGTTCTGAAGCTTATCCTAATTACAATAATCCTTCAGTTGTACTATAGAAAATTTCAAAATCTAGCGAATTGATTTTTACAAGGTCAGAATGGGTTTTTCCCCATTTTTAACAATAGAGAACTGCTTTATACTTTTATTGCAATAATAAAATTTTTTCGTTTTTTCATATATTTTTAAAAATCTTTGTATTTGAGGAAAAAAAAGAGAACAATATCTAAAAGAAGATAAGATCGTCAGACATGAATGCTAAAATCCCACTCACTATTTTGCACGTTAGATTTTCAGTTCTTTAGTTTGAGCTTCTCACTCACTCACTCACTGTTTCTCAGAAATGATATTTTTAGTTAAATGTTCTATAGCAAGATTAATTCTTCAGGAGGGAGTTCCCCGGTTAGTGTTCTTTATTTTTGTTGCACATCGTGCAAGAATGCAGCGTGTTAGTCAAATTTTGAGCAACTGTATAGTTGAGTTAATACATAAGTCCTCATTCACGTCAACGCACTAAAATTTTAAGACATCCTCGATGAAAATAGACACTACGCTGTCAATACATAGTTTTAACTTTTAATGACACGAGAAAAAGAAAACGAAAACGAAAACAGATTTTTAGGCAAAAATTTCAATACGAAATAATTATTGACTTATTACTTTTCATTTAGTGTAAATCTGTAATAAGTTACTTTAAATTGAACAAAATATGTTTACCACTTTTTAATGTTTACTTCGTTAAAAAAAAAAAATATATATATTTATTTCAAAAATGGTTTTCTGACGCATGAGATTGTAATGATTCACAGAGCAATTGTCACTAAACACCTGTCTACAATAATTTTGCCAGAAAATGTTAATAAACACGAGTAAACTAATACTTTTATGTGTTGGAAATTTACACCTATTTGAAGTCATACAGATAGTATTTTGCACATAATTTTTTGAAAAAAAGTTTTCTCGCATTTGATTTAATTAATTAGTAAAGTTGTCTTCTGTGAAATCTGGGTCAGTCAAGTATTATGTAATTTCTTTTTGGATGTCGTACTCTCGAATCAGTGCAAGGGTAAAGGCACTTCACAATCATAAGTTCGCAATTACCTTTGGAATTTTTGAACAGAATTTTTGACAAGAGCTCTTTTATTATGTACTTATTAACCCTTTAGTTATAATTTTTGTCAAATTCTAAAAATTTTGTACTGCTTTTCGTAAAGTACAGTACAGCAATTCTGTTGCAGAAGTAGATAGTCAATGAATACAGAAAATAAAATACTTCATAAGCATTAGAATGCATTCGTTAATTTGCTAATAATTCTGTACTGGGTAGAAGAATTATAAATTAACTTTCCCATGACCCCAGAACTCAAAAAATAATATTTTGACGATTAAATTATGTTGATATCATGTTCATCATTGTTATTAATTACATTTTACGGTTTCTTTGTTATAGAATGCTGAAGGTCAACAGATTTGTTTAGTGACACTCCAACAAGAAAATACAAGTTGTAACATAAATGGAGTATAAAATTTTTTTCAAACATTCTACAGTGATAGTCAAGAAGTCAGAATCAATAGAGTACGCTAGTACAAACAATAATCTTTTAAGAACTTATGTTCTTCTATGTATAAAAATTTTAATACCAATAGTAAAGGAAAGAAGAGACCTAATTCTGTAAACTAACAAAATTTTAAGCAGCAGTAAATGGATTTTTAAATGCTGACGGAAATGTGATGTGAAATATAAAAATTTTCGCCTCCTAAATACGTAGCAGAAGTTTTAGTGTTCCATGTGCATCATACAATGGAATAGATCAGATCAAACGTGAAAGCAATAATCTTTTAAGGACCTTCCATGTGCGGTATTAAAACATTAAACTCGCAGTTGCAATAAGATAAGTGTTATCTAGACTCAATTTTGATGTAAACGAACTTTGTTAGTACCAGTTGCAGTGTTTATGTGAACTTTTTAACGAACGCACTTTTTATTGTGATGTGAAATTAGTGATAACGAAGACCAAATCAACAGTGATATAGTGTGTATATAAATGTCACTAGCACCATAGGTGACCTATATACTGTGAAAAGTAAAATATTATAAGAATCAGTAAATTCTTAGATGAACCCAGGTGTTGTGTGAGTGTGCCCAGCGATAGGAAGTGTCATGTGAAGTGAAATAGTGTCCCCATTGTGAAAAGTGTTAAGTGCGTGGTATGTATAAAAAGTGCAAATAAATTGTGCGACCTAAGTGAAGTTCAATGAAGAGAACCTTAAGAAGGCTGAATCGAGAGCAAATAGGAGACGCAGTTCCAGGACGGAAGTCATCAACGGTGAGTACATTCATTCTAAATATTAATTTTTTATCTAATAAGAAACAATTTCTTAAATTTAATGCGTGTCTCAAAAATTAACACTCCAACCCGACAATTAAAGCACCCGTACGAGCACCGTTTCTTAAGTAGGCTCAATCGTTTCGTAAACTCATGCAGTGTTAATAGCATTTTATAAAAATACAATTTTTATAATTTTATAATTAAACAAAAGTTATTTAAAAATTTATGAGAAACTTACTCGTTTCTTTTTAATGTGCTTATTTTTATTCCTTGTCTTGACATAATTTATCCACATTAAGGACATAATTTTTAAAAAAAGGGGTTTTAAAGAATAAATAAAAAAATATATAAATTAGTGTGTTGTAAAGGTAATTTTTAAAAGACACTAATGATTAATTATTTCTGTTAAAATAATATCAATTATTGATAGATAGTTAACAAGTCGAATGTATAGCGGGGACTGAACTGCGCGACGTTAGTTTCCCTGTTATTATTCTGCAAAAATTTCGTCCACCTCTTTATGCGCGTGAAAACTCGCCCCCGCCTATAACAAATTCATTCATAGCAATCTACGACGAAATTTAAATTTCATTAAACAATATTTGAAATATTTTATGGCAAAATAAAAATAGTATTCTTTAATCTAAATTTGTAAAAATTTTAACTAATTTGAAATTACTTGTAATTTTTTGCCATTAGTTAGTAAATTGTTGGCGTGATATTAAAGTGAAGTTATAATTATATTGAAATTATTTATATTTTGATTGACTGTCGTTAGATGCTGTAAATGAATTTAAAAGCAAGTGTGTCTTTGAGTGTCAAAAATTGACCTTCCTAATACTATGTGCAGGGTTGTCTGCAAAATGTAGACATGACGCGGATACAGTCCAGATGCGACCCGCTTGCGAAAAAGTATGCCGAATGACGAAAATGTTTGCCCTAGAATCAGGGCATTTGTGAAATACAATTATCTATACATATTTTATAAAATTAATCTCATTGAAAAAAAAAAATCAAAACATAAAATTAAGGAAGAAAATTAAATTTATATTATTTTTAAATGATATACACTAGTGGTTTTAAAAAATATTTCGCTAAAACATCGAATATTTTAGAGATATATTCAGTAAAATTTATCACGGAAAAAGCTTATTTAGTAAAAAATTATTGAAGGATTATGTTATTCTTTGCCTGACCAGGAAGATATTCAAATACTGACTTATTTTCAAAACTTGAATATTTTGAAAATCACCTTCGTGTCATCATAAAATTTAAAGTAATGAACTTGTTTTGAAATTTTAATAGACCGTTGAAAATCCATTTTATTCGTATAGAATATTTTTTAAAATTTACCGGTAGAGCAGTCAAAATATTCATTATGAATCAAAATTGTAAAAAAAAAACCTTAGAATTTAATGCCACTCAATAAATTCTTTCATATGCTATGAATTACGAAATGTTAAAGTTTTTGAAAAATTGAATACTTCACACGTGACTTCAAAAGCAGACGTTACTTATGCCAACTATCAATAAACGCCAAGTAAATGAGAAATTCTGAATGATTGCTATTTATTTATTTATAGTTACATATAATTTAAATTCATTTTGTATGCTCTAGTTAGTATTTTACGCTCTAGTAATTGTTAACAAAGGTTAATATTTAATTATAGTTTACAAATTAAAAAAAAAAACTACAATTATTTCAAAAACTAACATTTCGTGACTGGCATTTTTCTATACGGTGGAAAATTTATTATTTTAAATTAAAGTCTCTTTAAAGAAAAATTTCAAGGAACTTACATTTTCAGTAGAAAGAAGTGAATATGAATTATTTGATGGTCCAGGACTTGGGGAGGTAAATTCTGAAAGTTTACTTGGCGATAATTTATCACTGGTTGCTCCTTCAGCACCATCACTGCCGCTCCCACTGAAATCATCATAGGGCATTTAATTTTTTACATAGAAATATTTAATCGAAAATTCGATTTTAATTTTCTTTTAAATTAATAAACAATTGTTTATAAAAATTCTTTCTCACATTGGTCATCTTAATTTCTCTATTAAAAAAAAAAAAAATTGTATTCCTCTATATTTCCATAAGATCGAGGTTCTTGGATCAACAGGTCGAGAGTATAATATATAAGGAGAAACTCTCTTACAAGTATTATTCAAACGTATATAAAAAAAACGCATTTAAAAAATAAAAAAGTAACCTCCCGCCAAGAAAACCGGTCGGTGATAGATTAAAGAGACTCAACTCACAAATATCGTCGATGTAAATCTCTGAGGCATCTTTCCACGGGCCTATAGCAATTTTTATTTAGCCAATCCTTGCTCGTTAAGTAACATTTATTACTTGTGATTAAAGTTATTAGGCAACATCCTCTGAGTCTAATCTCATCTCTAATTCCCATTCGATTCATTTTTTAACGCATCACTTTTTTTTCAAAAATTTTTTCTAATAAATTTTTTTAATCATTGCTATCATTTTTCCACACGATATTAAAAAAAAAAATCACACACAAAAAAGCGTACGTGTGCCACAAGAAATAGTGTCTGTCAGGACTTGAAATTTTAACGATGCTTTGTCATCACTCCCTTCACACACTAAGATTTCATTTTATTTCATGATATCATTCACGTCAGGATCAAGGACTAATTTTCCTTTAACAATGACATTTTTATTACTTTTTAAAAATTCCTCTTTTAAATTTAATTGATCACTGTCGTTAAAATCAATAAATGTTCTTGTGAATAAATTTTTATCTTAAATTATTATCAGCTTTTCTACATTCGATGAAATAAAAATTATGACAAAAGACTATTTATAAATTTCAATTAGAAATTATTTTTTTTAAAAGTTTATTTACACTATTAAACTTGGACGAAAATATTCAAGTATTATTGACTTTCGTTTTAGCGATACACGTGAAAGTAAAAAAGTATATTTAGTATTTATTTCAAAAGGAAAAAAAAATTTTTTTATAATTTAAAAAATATTCCAGTTCATTTTTTTTTTATATTATTAATTAAATATTAAATTTATTTTGATTTACAAACAAACAAACTAAATTTTCTTTATTTGTTATCATGATTCACATAAATTGATTTCATTTTCCATTTCGTTACATTTAAAAATATCAATAACTTGTTAATCATATCACTTCACTTTGTATTTTTTTTTTTTTTTTTTTTATTGATAATTTTCATCAAGGAAAGTTGTTTTAAAAGAAATGTAAGGAAGTCTTGAATATTTCCGTCATCGCGTCACGGTTCTTACTGAGTGCAATAATTGCTCGCTCGATCTCTATATACATATATGTACAAAGATCGGACCTTATGAATTTAATGACATGCTTTGTATATTGCCCATTACCACTGTCGTACACGTAACTTTATCATACACTGGTTAAATAAATTCTGCAACGAAATTATAGCACATCCTTTATAGATAAAATTAAAAAAATGATGTCATATTTGAATTTTTTTTTTTTGAAATTATAATAACAATAATAATATAAATTTTTAATAAGGATTTTTTAATTCCAATTATTTTCACTTTTTCATGTCATACATATAAGCAGATAACGGATGATGAATCAATCCTCGCTTATTTTAAACTGAAAGTGAACATTGTACGTTTAAGTTTCATTTTATTTCTTTTACGTTATGAGTTCACACTGTAGTTAGATTTCTTCTCATCTAATTCAACTTTCTGAATAAGTTTACTTGAATTATTTTTTAATTATAAATTTTTTAATTATGTAGGACAAAAATTTTTTTTCCGATAAATTCAATTTATACGGGATAATTTCCGGTATATTAAAAATTTAGAGTTTAAAAAATTCGACTCATCATTCACCAAATGACTGAAACTTTTCAAAATATTGCAGTAATTAAAGATACTGATTAGTTAAAAATCATAGCCAATCAGAGCATTGATGGGAAAACGTTTCTTAAGATATCATATCTACTGATAACACTTGACTTAAATTTCATCGAGTTTTCTGTTGTTACAATGTATTATTAGACATTTAGAGAAAGTGAAATAATAATTATTATTATTATTGTTAAAAATATATTTAAAACGTAATTAATCTTTTTTTTTTTAAAGAAAAGAGAAATGCAAATTTGTCACACAAAAAGAAGGGAATTCCACTTTTATAAAAAAAAAGGCGTGACAGTGTCGTAAAAATAATACACTTTCTCCTTTATTTATATATGTTTGGAAATGCAAAAAATTCTTTTGTTATTCACAAATTAGTAATTTAATAATAAATAAAAATATAATTGTATAGATTAAAAATTTTCTCTCAAAATTGAAACGAAATGTGGGAATCTGATTTTTGGCACGAAAAAATAATTTTAGAGACAAAAGGCTTTTTCTTTTTTTTAAATCGAAACTGACAATTTTAACAGACACTTTTATCGATCCTTTAGATTCATTTAAACGCACTGAGATAACAATGTTCTCTTGCGGCACCTTTATAACTTAAATAACGTGGGTAGCTATGACAATTCCTCTATATCGCTTTCAACAGTAGATAACCCACTCCAATGTCGATCATAAAACTACCTTTTTCAGCAGCAGAATAAGAATTCCGTTATTCAGTAAACGTGAACTGAATATTGTCCCAAGACCATTAAATTCTATTGCCTTGTCAGTTTTAAGACAATAATTTTATTACTTGTCTAATTTTTCGACTTTTTTTTTTTTTTGCTATTCTAAAAGAGTTTTTCAAAAAAATAATTAAAAAAAAAAAAATCGTAAATTATTTTGATGAAAAATTTGAATTTAAAGATTCTTACCTTTCAGTAGGACCATAACTGGATTCCTCTCCGGATTCCACACTGTTGAATGAAGTGCAATTCATTTTTCTTTCTTCCCATTGTGAACGGACTTCATCTTGAACTCTTCTTTTTAATTCTTCTACCCTTCGTCGTTCCTCGGAAATCACTTGGCTACCTAAAAAACAAAAAATATTATACATAATCAGATAATTAAAAATTAGCTAATTGAAAAAGTTAGAAATTGGGATAATTAAAAAAAATATAGAACCTTGTTTTGCTAGATGAAGTTGTCGATTTCTCTCTATTTCCTTTAGTGACTCTATTGTTTTTCTTCCCAAACTACCCTGATTGTTGACTATTGGAGAATCAGTTGTGACTCTTGATATTCTATCAAAATCCTCTCTACTGGGAGATCGTTTTTCATCACATTCTGGTGCATTTCTAGCTAGATTTTCCAATTCGTCTTCAATCGCTCGTAATCGATTTCGTCCCTGATTAAATGGAGAAAAAAAAATAATTTATAATTCTAATTTATGTAAAATAATTTGTTTTTTATAAATTAATTTTAATCATCATTTACATACTTCCTCCAATCTTCTCAGGTGACCTAATTTTTGTCTTTCTAGATTTTTCGTATCTTTGGTAGCTGAGTTTTTAATTTCAGACTTTTGTGATTCCAAATGTGTAAGTTGAACTTTTCTGCTTTCTATTCTCGTTGACAGTTCACTGAGATACCTGAAACAAATCAAACTTAAATCTTATTGAATTGTTTAGACTTTTATAAAAAAATTTTTTTGGTTTCATAAATTATTATTAGAAATTAATTTTTGTAAAAATTACAGCGTTTGCTCTAATTACCTTGACTTTTTGACCTTTTTGAATACTAATTCTAATGTTGAATTTGCATATTTCTTATAAGTATTCATTTTGTATAAATAAAATTTATTACCTTTGTAATTCTTCTCTTGTAGCCAATTTACTTGCTTCTTCTTCTAGATGATGAAATTCTAAATCTTCAAAAGCTTTTCTCTCAGTTTCAAAAATATCCTGCTGCGTGCTTAATTTGTTAGCAAGCTCTTCTCGAATCTCGACATTTATGCAATTTGAAAGTTCATCTTCAAATTCATTGCAAAGCTGTTGCGCATTTTGAACTCGTTGTCTTGCTTCTCCTTGTAAATTTGCTTGAGATGTACTATCCTGCGACATTTCTCTTTCCAATTCATTTATACGCATCTGAATTTTTATTTTTTCACTCTCATCCTGAGTGAGTTTCAAAGATTCTGATTCATATTCGGCAGATAAAAGAGCTTTTTCCAATTCGAGCTAAAATAAATAGTAAATTTAAGAAACGAATTATATTATTATTTTTCTTAATTTTGTTTTTAAAATTATGTTTAATTTTTAGGATTCTTTAATTAATGGTAAATTTACCTCTCTATTTATTTCCTCCTCTTGATTTTCTATATCAGCAATACTTCTTTTAAAAACTTCCATATTCCCAAGAATGTGGCGTTTTTCATTTTCCAAAAATTCCATATACTTTTTTCGATCTTCCTCCTCGTGTACTTTTTTATCCTTGTCAGTCTTTATTTCTTTTGATTTGACATTATCTTTTTCCGTGTTGATCCTCTTGGGTATGTTGTTTCGTACTGTGTCATTACACTTTGGCAACATTTTCAGCTGTTCAATCGCATCTAATAGATCATCATCGGAAACTATCAATTTATTATTATCAGTAATGTCACAGATTTTATTGGATTTTATACTTTTTCTCCTTGGCAAAGTATTTGACATTACTTGTGTATTATTTCGTGGCATTACAACATTCTCATAAATACTAATATTTCCATTTAATGGTAGAAAATTTTCATAATTTTGAGATACAACATTTTGACTATCTAATTTTGTTCCATTTATCTTAGCTGTAAACAAGATTTCTGATTAATAAATAATTTCTATCACGAGTATTTGATAATTTATTAAAAAAAAAAATTTTTAATTCTGAAGAAAATTAAAAAATAAACTGAGAAAATGATATTACCGTAGATCGATGGAGATTCACTTTTAGACCTTTCGTGAACAATTAGTGTTTCTTTAGGATGAATACTATTTTTAATTTTAATATTTTCATAATTAGGACTTTCGAAATTAGACGTTGATGTAAAATAATTGGATTGTTCTTTGTTATAAAAATTAGGCCATTTTGTAGTTTGATTATTGTTTGGTGTAGTTGGTTGAGAATCTTTGACTGTAAATTTATTTCCATTTTCATTATGAACAATATTCGAGATATTTGACGTTTCTCCATTTTGAAAGGTCATATTTGAATTTTGTACATTTATATTCTCATAGACCATTGATTTGTTTTCTTTTGATGATTCAAACGCAAAGTGTGGCTGAATTTTTGAAGTGCTCTTTGGACTTCCAAATGGCGAATTGTGACCGGATCTTTTGTCCCTTGTTAACGAACCATTTGTCATTATTCTGAAAAATATAAATTTAATTTTTTATTATAATTAAAAATTCATTTCGTTTATTAAAATTCAGATTTTTTTTCAATTTTTATCAATAATATGAAAGTGATGAAAAAAAAATATTTTAGGAATTTGAACTTTAAAAGATAGCAGAATCTAAATTACCTGTTAGGTTGTCTGGGTTTATCAATAGTGGTCTGTCTCTCGTATTCTGCACACATTGCCAGAATCTCTTCCAGTCTAAGTTTCTCTTGCTTCTCCATCTCTTGTTCTCTCAATCTCTCTTCCTGAGCTTGCTTCCGTCTATTTTCAGCCTCTCTTCTCTTGTTCTCTGCATCAACCTGCCTCTCCCTAAGTTCTTCTAAAGAACATCCGCTTCCTGTACTTGGCGTGGGACTCTTAACACGAACAACATTTTTTTTACTCTCATATCTTGGATTTCGATTAAATGCCGGACTCATTGGTTGAACTTTTCTCATATTTGAATTAAAACAATATTCTTGTAAATATTTATTACACGAACCATTAATATCACCTGTTCGATTATAGAGATTTGGATTAGAACCAAATTTTTCAACTTGAACATATTCAGTTGTTGTTTTAGCAACAATGAGACTTTGGCTCATATCAAAATCACTGCTAAGTCTTTCTAAATCACCACTTCTTTGACAAATTAAACTTCTTGTCATTAGATCTTGATTTTCATTATTATTATAATTTAAATTTGATTTATAGGCATTTAAATAGGATTCAGCTGCTGATATAATTTGTATGTGATTATGATTTGGTGATGGTATTTGATATGATTGTTGATTGGGTGTAATTTCTATTTTCTTGCAATCATCTAGACGATGAAGATTACCGGGACTGTTATTTAATGATGGTGTATTTGATCGACTTCGATCAAAATTCGTGAGATTTTGTAGAGGACTTACAGTATGTTTTGATAGCGATGCTAGACTCGATGATCGTGAATGACCAAGAATTTGATCAGCTGGTACATTTGTCGTGAGACCACCGGCTGGAAATACTTTTGGTGAAACACAATTTCCATTTTGTCTAGCTAACATTTCAAATTTTGTTAATTTACTCAGAAAACCAATTTCCTCATCTGAACATGAATTTCGTGGTGATTTTCGCGGTGGCACTGGCGGTTTACGTTCTAAATGACTCTCTAAAGTTTCAGAGAGAGAGAACGAAATCGGCGCCATTGATATTCTTGAATTTGGCAGGACAGATCTTAATTGTTTCGCTTCGGCTGGATGATTAAACCTCATGTAATTTGATCTTCCTATTGAGAGCATACAACCTGGAAAATCAATATTTTGTGAAGTAAACTGGTTTTAATTAGAAATTGGAAAAAGATTTTTTTATTAATTTGCGATATTTTCAAATGTTTCTTTTTTATTATTACCTTGGCTGAGGCGAACAGGAGAAGTAACTGGAATTCCATCGATGGACGTGTTCCCATTTATGGGATGAAGTGTGACAACGCCGTTATTGTTTTCGATCATGCAATGAATAGGTTCGACTCCGGTACCAGAGAGTGGTATATCAGCATCTCGATTGCATCCCAGAATAATTCTACCTGTAGAATAAAAAATTGTGTATTAGTTTTTTTAAATTTGAAAAAAAATTTATTATTTCAATTTGTAATTTTATATATATTTTTATGAAGCATATATAAAATTTAAAAATAGTTTTTCTTGGAATTAAAAATGCAATGGAATTTTGATAAGCAAAAAAAATTCACTGAATAGTATTTTATAATGAAGAATAATAATTTTTGCAAAAAATCCAAGCACGTATATGCTTAAAACGCTTACTCTCGACAATATCGAGTTACCTCGTCTCTTTTTTCTTCATTTATTTAACTCGTGATTTTACAGCCTCCAGGTTGTAAATATCGGTCACAATCTGCACTCTTATTACAATTTTTTTTTTCCCCCTTTTTTTAAATACAACAAAGAAATTTTGCTTGCAAATTACTTTATTATTTATCTTGTTAAATTTTTCATTATGAAAATAATAACTTTCTATTTCGTGAGTCGTAAAGAAGATTATTGATTAAATAAAGTTTGAAAAAAATTTTCATGTTTTATAAAAGCTCCTCTTTCATTTATCAATATTGAATTTTTTTTTTTAATAAAAATAAATAAATTATCAAGTTTTTCGTATAAATTTCTATTTATTATAAATTGACAAGGTAATAAATTTTATTTGGAATAGAAAATTTTTTTGGTGTTGTCATAGTGAATGGTATATAAAAGTCGAATCAATAACATTCATCACGTGGGTGAAGTCGCTTACCTCTGATTTAAATAGCAATTATGTGAATCAGTATTGGAGTAATCGAATATGTAGAATAGCTCGACGTTTACTACACTGGCAAGCAAGAAAATTCACGGAGAGTATTCTCTCTCACGAGACTCAAGGGTTTATTTTTGGCGCGGTTGTGCCTCGGAACAATTTTCAGTCTTTTTGGAAATGTGTCTGCAGGCCGCGCCATATCCAAAATATTAGTGGAACTATCTTTCTGAATTGGTCAAATTTTATCTAAATTTATGTTAGAAAATTGATTTTATTATAGTGAAAATTTTGAATATAGAAAAAACTTTATAGTTATTTTATAAAGATTCTTTATTTTATTAGTTTAATTAATATAATTAAACATTCTTTTTATTTTGAAAATATACTTCTAAACAGGCTTTTTCATTTTTTTATCTTTATTTTGCAAAATGCATATGTGCACTACTATACATGTTTTCTTTTGTGGTTATTTTCCATAATGGAACATTTACTGCTGGAAGGCAGCTGCTCTCCAACAAAATACATATATTATATATTGTATATACTTTCTGTATACAGCAACAAGTTTGTTCTAATGCATAAAATTATCTTTACAGTAAGCGGGTGGTCTTACTCCTTTAAGTGTTATTAACGTTGAATGAACACTTCCTGTTTATCTCAAAGGCTCAGATATATATATATATATATATTCATTAAATTGAAAGAAAATGTTTTATTTCGCTAATTCAGTTCTTTTTGAGTGTCAGTTGAAATTATTGTGTTTAAGAATTTTTTTTTTTGTAAAATTTTACATATTCAAAACATGTATAATCGAAGGAAATTCCGAATATGAAAAGAATTCAATTTTTCGTTCTTATAACTTGCATATCATGTCAGTCATATGGAGAAAGTTATCTCCGTTATTTCTCTAGAGAGACGAATATAAATAACAAGCGGTTTGTGCAGCAGATGCTTAAAGAATGCCTGTTGTTGCAAGCTTTAACTTAAAATATAATACATATGTGCATTAATTTAAATTAGCAAATTTAGTATTAATAATTAATTTATAATTTATTATGACGTAATTAATATAAATAATTTATTAATTTCAAAAATTACTTGTAATTTTTAGTAAATTTGCTACTAGTTACGTGAAACAAAACTTGAAAGACGAATGAAAATACATTTGCATAAAATAATTTTTTATATATATTGCGGGTGCGATGTAAAAGCTAATGTTGTTGACTGAATTTAAGTATGTGCTTAAGGGACACCATACTTCGGGTTATTGTCCTCTATTCTTTGCTCGCAATAAATTTTATTTCATCTACGTCCCACGCAATAAGCTCTCCTGTGTGAATATGCAATATTTGCATGTGTGGAAAAGCATTCTCCTTTCAAATGGACCACTTGCTCTTAAACAATCTTTATTTTACCGTTCTTTTCGCACATATTCTTTCATTCTCTTTTTCTCTCTCTCGAAATAACTGATTAGGTTCACATTTTCAGTAGTCTATAATAAAATTATTGAATCAAAAGTTATATCTTTTACAATATTGTAAAAAATTGTAATATTAAAATTTTCTTCGATTCAAAATCTTCATATTAAAATATAATAAAACCCTCATTGAGAGATCAATTTATTAATTTTTGAATCAAATTAATTTCTTTTATTGAAATGCAAATTTCACATCTGAATTGCAAAATTTGTTTTATCATTAATTGTCTGGAGTTTTAGCTTCATTTCGATTACAAAACGTATTGCAGCAAACGGCACAAGTGTATTTTTAAAGTCAAATCCACTTAAATGTATAGTGTCTAAGCTATTCGGGGAACGATTATTTCAGGACATAGGTATATGTTCGCAGGTCGCGTGTGGTCGCTAATGAATTTCTACGGGGAATATAAAATAATTAGAAAAATTTGATTTTTGTTTAAATAACTTTTTTTTTGAGTAAAAGTAATTTTTTTTTACCTTCTGGAATAGGGTGTAATGTCACTGAAGTTGAGAGTCTTCCACTGCCACACATTACGAGATGGGGCGCTTCAGTTTGCACACGCAATGCTCGCCCAGCCTCGCGTACTTGCAAATCCGCAGAAGTCATTTCTGCAAAAAAAAAAAAAAAAAGATAAATCTTTTAAGAAAACGAAAAAAATTCTAAAATACCGAGACTTGTCACGTAAGACTTTTTCTTCCAACATTAGTATGTGTTACTGATAAAGTGCTTGATAAACGTACACACGTATTATGACAATATATATATTCAAATGAAATAAAAGTTTTGTTTGCTCATCATTTTAGTTCCTTGAACTGGTTCGTATTTCATTTGAGAATGCTCGTTACAAGATATATAAAAAGAGGGTTATATATTAGAAATTTTCTTCATTTTTTCATAATAAAAATCTGGAAGTTTTGAATTAATTTTTTTGGCCAAAAAAAAAAAATTTGGATAGAAAAAGATTTTTTAGAATAGAAGAAGTTAACAATTTTTCTTGTTGAAAGTTGAGAATTTCGCACATTGATAGAAAAAAAATCGTTTCTTAGGTAGATTATGTCTTTAAAAAAAACACATGTGTGAAAGAAGTATATATATATATTCAAGGTGAAATATATTTAAAAACCGGTATTTCTCTCTTTTTGACCTGAGTATTTTCTCAGTAATTTTTAATCAATTTTTTTATTTTGTACTTTAACTTCATGTTGTACCCACACGGTTCATGGTAAAATCTGTACAACGTTTGTAGACTGTATACGGATATGATATATCACAATAACGTAAAACACATACGAAATCTGATGAATACTTAATTTACGGATTCTGAGAGGAAACGCCTGAGGATATGTATCAAAAAATATATAGTGTCGCTTGCATTGGGAAATAAGTAATATAATTTTTTTTTTTTTTTTTTATTGACATTAAAAATATCTACTCTCCAAATCTAAATCGGAAAAAATTTGAGTTTTACTTTTTATATTTGAAAAAAAAAAATCCCATAGGGGTTTTATTTTTTTATTGAGTACTTAAATTTAAGAAATTTCGAATTTAAATATATATAAATTCCGAAATCATCAATTATTATTTTTAATGTCTTTTTAATTTTTCTGTCTTTCTTAAATTGAAATTTAATATTTCGATAAATTTTATTAATGTCAAAAAATTAAATTACACTTTCTTGAGTTTCCTTTGAAAATCCATTGGTATGAGTCAACCAACAGCAATTGGAGATTAGTTATCGTTATAAATATTAAAACTTATTTATGATTTTATTGTTATAAATTAATCAAAATATATATTTCACCTTCGAATAGTGAGAAAATTTGAAGATTTAATTTTAATTTCTTTTGGAATTAATTTATTCTTGTTAGAGAAATGAAGGCCAGAGACTTGTGATGTTAAAAGGTATATATCTGTTAATCGACAATTATCAACAATTATCACTCAATAGTTGCGATGTCAATGTTAGAGGAAGATTTTTTTTCTTGTCAGATAAGATCTTGTTTCTGGTCTTATTAGAGAGCGTGAGATAAGCTTTTACTCTCTGATCATTGAACGAATTGCCGAAGGCGCACATCTCTCCACCTCTCGTTAGGCCGCGTGCCAAATGCCAAATGTAAATTTACTCGAATATACTTCCTGGCCTACCGGAAAGAGTTAAAAACTTTCACGGGAGAACATTATTTTTTTTTTATTCCCAGAGATCAAAATCTAAATTGAACTTTATGTTCATGTTTATGCGCGAACAGTGCGAGAAAAGCAGATCGCCATATAGAAAGTTTGTCTCACATGCGACTTTTCTACATTGAGTAATTGAACAAATTATTACTCTACTCGCGACGCATTAATTAAGCTACACATAGAACATTTTCAATTTAGAATTCAAATTAGCCACGTTTTTTTTACTGAATCCAAACCATTTTTTTTCACAGAAAATGAAAAGGCATTAAAATAAGCTGCAACGCTTCTTATTTTAATCCAATTTTGCTTATTTTAATCTATTTTGGTATTAAAATAAGTAAAATTTGATTAAAATAAGAAGCGTTGCAGCTTATTTTAATGCCTTTTAATTTTCTGTGTTTGCTTATTTATAATATATTTGAAATTAAAAAATTTTTGTATTAAATTAAGAAAATTCCAACATATTATATTTATCAATAATTTTTCTATTTTTATTTTTGTTGACAATTGTCTTTTATGACAATGGAGATCTGAATATTGGTGTTAGCATTGTCTTCTCTCGCGTTCAGTGAACTAGACAAAGTTAATCGGCTTAATTAAAGTTGTTTCAACTTGTTAAGATATATTCGCACAGTGAACAACCCTTTTATAGTATAGCTTTATTGTGTCGACATACGAGTTGAAAAAACTCACTCTTTATATTTGTAATATTTCTCCTTTAGTTCTTCTTTTTTTTTTTTTTTTTTTTTTTTTTTTTTACTATTTTATAGTTTTCATTTGGTTATAGAAAATTTACTTGCAGTTTCTAAAAATTAAAAATAAATTCTTATTATTATTTCTTCAAATAACAATGTATTTATACATTTTATGAATCATAGTTTAAAAATATATTTGTTTCATTGTTGATTATTTAAAAAATTTTAAATTATCCATGAATGATTTTGCGTTAATTCATTGGCACAGATTCAAGAAAAGGTCGGAAGAAAGATTTACTGCCGATTAGTTAAGTGTGATTACGCGCTTATGTAAATTGATAAGCCATATTGGTTTTCGACTCATATAAGAGGAAATTACCAAGATAATAATCGGTTGGAAGATGTTAGTGTGAAGAAAAATATAAGACAATTATAGAACATGTAGATAAATAGAAATTTCCGCTAATTTTTTTTTTTAGCTTTTTAAAGTAGAAAACTAAATTTATTTATCATCGAGAAATTATTTCTATTATCTATGATAATAATTAATAAATTTTGTATAAATAACAATTTATTGATAAATTATTTACAGTGAATTCCACCTTGATCAGATATCTTTTGTAAAGCGCGATGATAATAATAATGAAAAATGAATAAAAAAAACTATTTTTATCGCAAGTATAATCTAGGCTGAAAAATTAATGGATACTTTTGTTTTTTCGTCTATTTTTTTTTAAACTCATTTTACAGGAAAACAGGTTTATATATACCTTACGCATATATCGATATCAGTTTCAAGAACTAATGAATAATTCAATCCTCGTAATTTATTTCGTAATTACAAAATAAGTGTAATACAATCAAAAAGAATTTTTAAATTTGAGCTTTAATGTGCGTCATTTTGAAGAATACGAATCGTATATAATTGCATAAAGAAAGAAATAAACTTTTTTTTACGCCCGTTAAAAAAAAAAAGGATAATATTCTTCCATGAATCTAAAAAAGTATGAATTCTAGTATATAATTATAATTTTTTTATTTAAAACTGTTATCACATAATTGTCTTATATTTTTCTGTTTTATTTTCTAAACTATTTTAAATTTCATCACTAAATTAATTTTTCAATTTCTCGTAAAATTAAATTTGCCACTTTCGATATAGGAATGATGATTAGAATAGATTGAGGAATTTTAGAAGGAATTTCCATTTATCATTTAGGAATTATTGGTTTATCAGACACAAAATGAGATAACTATGCTAGCCTATATATAATACGCAGTTGCAGCAATAATTTTATATTAAATTATAATTTCAAAAAAAAAGATATATTCTTCGATTATATTACTTTAAATATATTCTATAGGAAAAAGAATATATTTTTTTCTCTCTCGTTAATTAGTTTGACAAACGAATCCTTGCGAATTCAAAGCATGACACCCTGTTGCGAAACTAATATAGTGGTCTTTGAAGATTCTTCTTAAGTGGTAAGATTATTAAGTGCCAAGTGTAGAATTTTAAAGTTCTCTCTTCAAGTAAGTGATGTGCAAGTTCTTTTCAGTAACTGCGAGTCTAATAAACGATTCTACACATGGCATAAGCAAAAAGTCTGATGATTTAAAAACCACTTTATGATTAAAAACTCTTCTTGAATTTTAGATAAAAGAAATACACAGAAAATTAAAAGGCATTAAAATAAGCTGCAACGCTTCTTATTTTAATCCAATTTTGCTTATTTTAATATCAAAATGGATTAAAATAAGCAAAATTAGATTAAAATAAGAAGCGTTGCAGCTTATTTTAATGCCTTTTAATTTTCTGTGTAATTACTATTTTTTTATTAGATAAAATATAATGGTAGTTCTTCTTAATATTCGTTTACTGAGAAAATTTATTCACACGGGAATTCTTTACGCATGAACACATATGAGAATAAGAGAGGGCTTTCTACCATGACGGAAGTCAGCGAGAATAAAGACAAAGTGCAAGTTTCTTTTTTTTTTCTTTTTGTATAAGCTTCTGGGATACTCCTTGGCGTTTATTATACTAGCTTCTCTTATATTCGAGTGGGCGTGTGACTTTCAAGTTTTAACCCCTTTGGGTATATCTTTGCGAATGCTAACAAGTGACGTGTGTGACGTAAATTTTTGTAATAGGGAAAAAGAAATTTAACCTATCTTGAAACTTAAAGTCTGAGAATATATATATTATAAAAGAACTCTGCCAGCCAGATGCTGACCGATTCACATTTGCAGTAGCTCCTCGGATGAACCATCAAGTTTCGCACGAACAACTCTTGTCACGCGATGCTATAACTGTTCTTTAGTTTTATATATCCTTTCATTTTCATTATTATTGTATAAGCGAAAAATACCATCGCCTACTTTTTTCTTTTGTAATTTTATCCTGTTTTGGGAAATAATTGAATTCTTCAAATTTTGTGACATGCAAATTGAATTGAAAGTATCAGGTTTACTTTACTTTTAAGAATTTTTTGGTTGATTAATTACAGAATTTTAAAAAAAACCATAGGAACATTAAACACAGTTTACGGGTGCTAAATCTAGCATTCAAATTAGATTTTGATTTAGCAAAACGTCGCGTTCAGCTTCTGCGTGCGTCTATATCACACGGATTTACAAACCCATTCATAATCCATTTATCATTACATCCGGTTACGTGCGAGCATTGCATTTACACTAGCATTGCTTTACAGTTGATGAAAATGGAACTAAAA